TTGTCTCGATTGTCCCGGTTGTCTCGATTGTCTCGATTGTCCCGGTTGTCTCGGTTGTGCTGGTTGTCTCGGTTGCGCTGGTTGTCGCGGTTGTCTCGAGAATCCAATGGACATGGTAGACTAGTCGACGAAATCTCAACATCACATGAACAGGGAGGATAAGCATGGGGACTGTTTGCATTTGCAAAACTAGGTATCATTCACAAGCTGTCTGTTTGACAGACCTAAACGCCGCCCATGCTGGGAGTATCCATCACCAGACCTGACTTTTGAATCCATGGCAAGGCATAGCACAGAAACCAACCACTGCTTTGGCGAGTAGCTTATTTCTTCTTGTTCTCCTCCTCCTCGGCCTTGGCAGCAGCGCGAGCAGCGCGCTTGCCCTGGTAGCGGGCCTCGGAGCGAGCGTCACGGAGCTTCCTGTAGACGTTCTCGTCGCTCTTGTAGTTGCCAATGGGACCCTCCTCAAAGGCGACCGTGTTCTTGATGGGCAGGATGTTGGTGCGGACAACGTTCTCGCCAGACTTGGCGGCCTTGACGTCCTCGGCGGAAGCGTCACCCTGCTTGGTCTTGCCGTTGCGGCGGGGGAAGAGGATGAGGCGCTTGCGGTACTCCTGGAGGCGCTCGACGTTGGCCTTGAGGGACTCCTCGGAGAGGTTCTGGCGGCGAGGGTCGACCGAGATACCAATGGTGCGGGCAAACTTGCGGGGAATGCCGGCAGCTGGGGTCGTTAGTCCATGTCAAGGCCATGCACTCGGTGATTCGTACCCTTTAGCTCAACGAGCGAGAAACCACGGCCGGGCCTGACGCGGCGGTTGTCTGTTCCAAGTCAGCATATGCGCTGCCTCGACTGCGCAAGCAAACATACACTTGATGGTGGGGCATCGCACAACGGGGCGGAGGAGGTCGACGGGGCGAGGGGCGACCTTGGCAGCCTTTGCAACGCGGGCGTTGCGTCTGGACTTCTTCTTGCCAGGCTATCGAGCGTTAACATCTATAGACACAGGCGCCACTGCTCTCAGCAAAGTGAGAGGGGATTTACCTGGTCAAAGTGCACGCGGACGTAGCGTTGCCTGGAAGAGTCAGCAAAGCTTGCGCAACGGAGGACCAAGGGTCGCATACCAGTCCTTGTGGAAGTGGTTCTTCTGGATCTGCTGGTTGTGCTTGATGGCCATTTTTGCAGATTTCTGTGCTTGGATTAGTCGTCTGTCGGACGCTTGCGCCTGCGCTGCCGTGTGCGTACCTGTCGATGGACCTGTTGTTAGTACGGGCTGACGAGCGAAGAAGTTGCAAAGTTCAATTTTGCAGGCAGGTGCGGAGCGCTAAGCGAGGCGCTAGCGATTGGGGCAGGCGCGAACCTGACATGTCGCGGGCTTGGCGCAGAGCACGACTGAACGCGACTGAACACGATTGAAGACGATTGAACACGACTGAACACGACTGAACATGACAACACATGACCACACACGACAACACATGACAACACAATTGTATGCTTCGCACGGGCAACTTCTTCAAAGTGTGTTGATAACACCTTCAAGGGCCGAGTAGGCGGTGCATTTGTAAACCACGTTGATTGATGCATGTAATAAATAATGCACGTGCGCTCATTCAATGCGCTGCCCATCTAGAGCGCTGCTCACGCTGATCTCACAAGATGAAGCAACAAAGACCGGCGCGCTACAGCGCCAGCAAACAGAAGGGGATATCATACAAACATTGCAAAAAAAAAAGAAAAAAAAAAAAAAAAAAATCCAAAAAATCCAAAAAAAAAACCAAAAATCCACCCGCATATCCAAGGTCGTAACATCGTAGCTAGTAGTAGTCGCCCTGCGCGGGTCAGGAACGTTACTCTCGCAAGCCTCCAATGCCGAGACCTACACCGTGATCAACGCGCGCGCGCGGACTGGCATGATGCGCTGCAGTCTCTGCTGGGCGCTTCTCAACCCCCTTTGGACGCGTCGAGCTGTAGCCCTTCTTCACGTGGCCAAAGATCCTGCTCTGCACGAGGTTCGCAGGTGGCGGTGGCGGTGGCGGTGCGTGCATTGCCTTTGGGGGAGGGGCCTGTCGCAGCATGCTGGCGGCCATCTGACTCGCCTGGGACTCGTTGATCTGGTCGTCCTCGCGGTCGGTGCAGGCCTCTTCCTCGTCTACGCTGGAGGCTGTGATGGTGGAGTTGGAGCTCTGGCGTCGCTCATGCACATGCTTCTGCTGGTAGTGAGCAGGCGGCGCTGACTGGGCAATGGCCGCGGGCATGTAGCTGGGCGGGGTGCGTGGCGGCCTAGCATAGGGATGCGGTCGCCTGTTGGGGGTGTTGGGGAGAGAAGACATGGACTGCGCACCTCTGTGGTGCCCTCGAGGCCTCGGTGCGTGGGCAGCCATCCTCGGCGTCGCGGGAGCTGTGGCAGTCTCCTGGCTCAGCATCTTGTCGGCGAGGAGGAGCGCCTCGAAGTTGTTCGGACCGCGAATGCTTTCGTTGGTCAGAGGAGCTCGGTGCAGGCGGCGCGGGGTGCCAAAGGTCGAGTGCGGGGTGCCAAAGGTCGGGCGCGGGGTGCCAAAGGTCGGGCGCGGGGTGCCAAAGGTCGAGCGCGGCGACCCGTGCTCGTGCATGTGCTCGAGAAAGGGCGCCATGTGGTCTCTGTTCTTGCGGATCCGCGACTTGAGGCGGTCGTTTTCTTCAACCAGGCTGGCCAGCTCGCCCTCTCTGTGCTCGGTCAGGCGCTTCTGCTGCTCAAACAGGTCGCGCAGCTGGGCGTTCTCGGCCTGCAGCATCTGGTTCTGGCGGCCCATCTCGGCCATGACGACGGCGTTGGCGGCGTTGGCCGTCTCGGCGTAGCTCTGCTCGGGCGCCGCGGCCTGGCAGCGGCGACGCCTCTCCTCGGCCTGCTGCAGCACGTCCAGCTCCCGATGCGCCATGGCCAGCTCGACGGCCATGCGGCTTGCGGCTTCCTGGCTGTCCATGACGGCCATGTTGTGCTGCAGCTTGTAGTGGGCGGCGGACAGCCTCATGTCGCGCAGCGCGTTGATGAGGTCGTCGACCATGGCGCGCAGCTCGTCGGCCGAGGCATTGCTGACCTGGTCGCGCGAGTACAGCACGGCGGCGGCTGCCTCGGCGAGGGCGGTGGTGCTGCTGAGCGTGGACGTGGGCCGCGGCGAGGTGGGCTGCGGCGAGAGCGGGCTCGGGGTCACGGACTGCGTGTTGGGCAACTGCGACGACGGCGGCGGCGGCGGCGTCGGCGTCGGCGTGAGCGAGGCGGGGCGCGTCGCGGGGCGCGACTCGTCGGCGGTCGGCCGCAGGGAGGCGTCCATGGTCGCGCAGTGTGGTACGGCAACAGCGACGATGGCAGTGACGGCGTTCGCGGCGCGTGCGTGCGTGCTGCGGGCAAGTGTCGCGACGGCGATGCGCGACAGATGCGCGGTGCGCGGTGCGCGGGGCAAGCGGGCAAGCGGGCAAGCGGGCAAGCGGGCAAGCGGGCAATCTCAGACAGACGTCGCGACGATGCGCGGACGGCGGGGCGCGGAGTGGTTCTGGTCGGGCAGCGTTGCGGGGGGAGGCGCCGTTGTCACTTGTGCGAGCCTGCGCAGGGCGAGGTCGTGCATCTCCTGCGAACCACTGAGCTCCCCGGTCGCTCCAGCAACGGGCGTGCAGTGACATTGGGACGGCCCCGACGCCCGACAACGAGTCGCGCCCATAGATCGCCTGGAAATTGTGCGAGACAGGGAGAGGCCAACAATCTATCCCTGTGCGACAGGCTCAAACTGCCCACGGAGGCACCCGACCGCGCGTGAACTGCGCCGTTGACCGCTGAAACGGCCGTCGGCTCCCATCTATGGATCCCGTCTCAAACCTCCCGCGGCCCTCTGGCATCCCGAGAGCGACTTCGCGGCTGCCAGTGCTCCGTCCGTCAGGGAGCCAGCCGCAGCTGCGGTCGCCCGCGTCGACGAGCCAGCTGCGCAAGAAGCCCTCCGTGTCCTCGCTGTCGCGTCCGCCGCCACGCCAGCAGCAGCAGCAGCCCGCCTTCACACACGCGCCGCCCCGAGCAGCACCAGCAACAGCAGCAGCAGCAGCAGCAACAGCAGCAGCAGCAACAGCAGCAGCACCGCCACCAGCAGCACCCGCCTCGACCCTCCGCCGACAGTCTTCGACCATCTCGCTCGCTCCCTCGTACGGCGCCTCGTACGGCGCCCCGAACAACGGTCCCGCTCCCAGGCCGGCCACGAATACCCCCCTCGCTCGGAAACCCAGCCGCGCCTCGCTCGTCCCATCATCGGCCAGACGAGTGAGCAGCATCCCCCGCTCCGGCGCGCCGCCCCCTCGCACGAGCAGCCAGAACGCCCCTGTCGCCAGGAAGCCCTTTGGCCGGCCGGCGTCCCGCCAGAGCAGGACGCCCTCGCAGCCGCTCCGCACACCGAGCATCAGCAACGAGGACGACGTGCTGGGCAGCCTCGATGGCTTCCGCTCGGCTTCGCGCGCCTCGTCTCGCGCTGGCTCCCGCGCTGGCTTCCACGAGAGCAGCTCGTCGCCCGAGTACGTGCTAGAGGTGCAGCCGGACGGGCGAGCGAGGGGGCAGTCACGACCCTCGCTCTCGGAAAGGACCATGGAGAGCCTCGCGCAGCTGCCCTCGTCGCCAGCCAACGGCAAGGGCAACCGGCGAAGGTCGAGCTTCTTCAACCAGGACAACAGCATGCCTCCGCCACTGCGCCCTGCGTCTGCCACGTCGAACACGAGCAACGCCAGCAGGCCGTCGACCAGCGACGGCACCAGCAAGCGTCTGCCCACGACGCCCAGCAAAGCTAGCGCGCGCTCTTCGCGCATGTCTATGACTTTGCCCGGCAAGCGGACCGTCAGCGCTGCTGCAGCGACGCCCACGGGAACACCCAGTCGCAGCATTTCGTCCATATCACGTCCCACGACTGCCATCAAGAAGCCGGCGTTGGTCCCGACGCAGAATATCCAGACGCCGTCTAAGCGCGCGCCCCTGTCGGAGAGCAAGGGCATAGCATCTCGCACGCCCACGGCGCGTGCGTCGGTTGCGGGCACACTTGGCCACGCCATTTCGCCACCAGGGCCCGTCAACGCAACCTCGCCACCTCCACCCTTGCAGACGTCCCCAGCAGGCAGTGCTCGCAAAGCGCCCAGCTCGTCGCTTGCCCTCCGCAACTCGATCGCCCAAGCCAAGGCCGCACGGAAGCAGGGCGTTGGCGACCCCCCCGACGGGACACCGTCGAAAGCCGAGAGTTCCTCCAACGCCCTCCGCGAGCAGATTGCAAAGGCTAGAGAAGCTGCAAAGCGCACCAAGGCTGGCCCCACGAGGGCCGACACACCGCCCAAGGATGCCATTATACCGGATCCTCGGGAGATTGCTGGCTTCGACTTTGGCCTCGGCGATCCTTTCAACCAGAACGCAACGGGTGGCCAGTCAGTCCTGCGCAAGCGTGTTGATGGCGCTCGGACAACTGGCCGCCTCAACATTGCAGGCATGCAGTTGACCGAGATGCCGGACGAGGTGCTTGGAATGTACGACCCCAACGACACCACGGTGGCTTGGGGCGAGATTATGGACGTCGCGACCATTGTCGCCGCCGACAACGAGCTGGAGACGCTGCCGGATAGCATGTTCCCAGACGTCGACCTCAACGACGTTGACGACGATGATGCAGGGCCTCAGTTTGGCGGCATACAGAGTCTCGACCTGCACGGCAATCTGCTGCGAGAGCTGCCAGTCGGTTTGAGGCGGCTGGCAGAGCTTACGAAGCTGAACCTGTCGCGGAACAGGCTTCCCATGGAGGTTTTTAACGTCGTCACCCAGATAGCATCCTTGCGCGAGCTCAAACTCGCAGAGAACCATCTCACGGGCGAGCTCTCGTCGAGCATTGTAAACCTGGCTCGGCTCCAAGTCCTAGACGTTGCGAACAACAAGCTCGTCAGCCTGCCAGCAGAGCTGCGGGAGCTGACGCAGCTGCGGACCGTCAACGTGGCTGGCAACCAGCTGAGCGCCGTACCAATGGATTTGTTCACGTCGACCTCCTTGCTTGACTTCAATGCTACGAAGAACCGTTTGCAAGGCGCCTTCTTCACCGTCCAGTCTGCACCACACCTGCAGGAGCTGCGACTGTCTGGCAACGCGCTGACTTTGCTGGCGGAGTCGAGCGACCTGAGCTTGCCTGCGCTGAAGCATCTGGACGTTTCAGCAAACAGGCTGTCCTCGCTGCCCGACGTGACGTCTTGGGCGACTCTCGGCACGCTGTTGCTTGGCGACAACAAGATTACAACCTTTCCCGAGGGCTTCTTCTCACTGAAGCAACTGCGCGTTGCTGACTTTACGGCGAATGACATTTCCAGGCTCGACGAGCGCATTGCGTTGATGGAGGCGCTGGAGATCCTGACCCTTGCTGCGAACCCAATCCGCGAAAGGAAGTTTTTGACGATGAGCACTGATGATGTGAAGCGCGACTTGCATGCACGGCTTCGGCCTGAAGAGACCGCTACTGGCCCTCGTGGAGAGACTGCTACTGGCCCTCGTGGAGAGACTGCTACTGGCCCTCGTGGAGAGATTGCTACTGGCCCTCGTGGAGAGATTGCTACTGGCCCTCGTGGAGAGACCGCTACTGGCCCTCGTGGAGAGATTGCTACTGGCCCTCGTGAAGAGGACGAGCTTCCGATCAGGGAACAGGCACCCCAAGTTTCAAATGACTGGACAGTGACTCCATCTGGAACACTCCATCTCACCAGCAAAAGCTTCACCGACTTTGACGACGACGCCCTCATCGCTCTCGCAGAGACAAACGACATCCGCCAAGTCAATCTCCAGCATAACCTCCTTCAAACGATGCCCCTCGCACTCGGGCAGATTGCCTTCCTCACGATTCTCGACCTGTCCAAGAACAGCATCTCGAACCCACTCGCAAGTCCACTCGAACTGCCTAAGCTCCGCGAGCTGCGACTTTCGGGTAACAAGCTCAACTCTTTGATGCCCTTTACCGCGCACCTGACAGCCCCCTCACTTCAAAGTCTCGACATCAGCCAGAACCGCCTCACAGGCTCGCTCCCCGGCCTCCGCGATTCGTTCCCAGCCCTCATCACCCTCATCGCGAGCGACAACGCCATCACGGACGTGCCCGCCGACGCCCTCTCCGGGCTCAAAATCGTCAATCTGAGCAACAACAACATCGAGCGCCTCGACCCGTGCATCGGCCTGCACGCCGGCACCCTCACGAGCCTCATCGTCGAGGGCAACAAGTTCCGCGTCCCCAGCTACCAGGTCCTGAGCAAAGGCACGGATGCGATTCTCGGCTGGCTAAAGGACAAGATCCCCAGGGACAGCGGAAGGGACAGGGGCGATAGCGCGGCGAGCAATGCTACGCGCACGACTGAGGGCGGAAGTGAGTTTTTCGATGCCGAGGATGGCGGCGTGGCGTGGTAGGGCCCGTCCGCCGCTCATGGGAGGGGAAACTATTAATGTGTTGCCTCTTTTCTCTCGCTGTTGGAAGCGCGGGCTCCCGGCTTTTACTTCTCCTGTTCGGTGTTTTCCGTTCTTGTATATTGTTACTTCTTGGAAGCTGAGCGTTTCGGTGGATAGGTGCATCACGTTTCTTCTTCGCTACTGTGTTTTGCGCAGTTCAAGGTGTGTTGTCGTGTACGAAGTACATGTATGTAAACACCAACATGCCCCCCCTTTTTTTTTTCCAACTGGTCCCATTCGCTTCTTCTGCGTTCATGCCGTTCCGCCTCGCGCCTCGCGTCCGCTGTTTGACGAGCCGATGTAAGACGGTCGTACATGGATACGAAGAAGAGTCCGAGCATGCGTGCCAACTTCGCTGCCCTGGAATTCCGTAGCAAAGGACGCTGCACGACTACAAACAGCAGACCCTTACGGGCATCTTATAGCTCGAGAACGTAGGGGCACGTAGGAATATCACATCAATCGCATTATTCGCATCACATCAATCGCATCACATCAATCGCATCACATCAATCGCATCACATCAATCGCATCAATCACATCAATCGCATCACATCAATCGCATCACATCAATCGCATCACATTGACACGTCCTGTGTTTTTTCGTTGTGGAAATCTGGGTTCAGCAGCGTGGTTTGGACTCGCCGCGCAAACTTGCGTACAGCTCATACCACAACATCAACACCAAGTGACTGCAAGACAACCAGTGCCTCAAAGAGATTCCCGAGCGGACCGTCGTTTGAGTGATTGTGTCGAAGCAGCGCACAGTCTTCCCGCCAGAACGCGCGGATCACGGCTTTTACGATGGCTGAATGAGAAGGACAGGTCGGACATGCACGTCAACCGCTGCGACTTTGAGATGAAATCGGTGGTTTTCAGGAGCCAGGGAACATCGCCTGCAGGGTTGGCATGTTGGTTCTGCAGGAAGAGCAGACAGACACATGTGCTAGTGCGTTGGTTGTTTTGGCCATTTATACAGGCGTATGTGATGGGAGAAGTTTCCATGCCTGAAATCTGCTTATATACGGGCGAAAAGCAAGCGCACGTGACACACACCGGCGCGGCAGCATTCGAGAACAGTAAAAGCCAAACAATCGTGCGCTCACCCGAACCATTCAACGCCAGCGCTCATGCGTCATACCCCCAGCCACCCTGAGTGGCCTGAGTGAGACCGTGTCCACTCCCACTCGACAGCGCCCTCGCGACCTGGAGGCCCTCGTTCAGCAGCCCAACTGCGTCATCAACACCTGCATGCCCCGAGTTGATCATACCCGGCATCGGCGGATCGGCAGGACGCTCGTTGACACTGCGCATCCTCTCCTCGCTTGCCTCACCTTGATATCTGTCCAGCGCGAGCCTCTTGATCGCTACGGCCCATTTGTCGAAGTACTGCTCCTCTGAGACGGTGGTGTAAATTTTCCGCCCATTGGAGGTTATGCTGAACGGCCACTCAGCGCGCACGACGGAGAAGCGCTTCGTGCAGAAGAATAGAATTGGCCATGTGATGATCCAGAGAAACGTCAGGTAGAACACCCAGCAAATCCACGTCGTGTTGCGCCAGCTATTGACGCGGTGCGATGTGTAAATATCCACGTTCTCGTCCATGATCGGAAAGGTGATGCTGATGTATCCGCGGTAGTTGGTCGAGCGGATGAGCCCTTCCAGCCGGTTCGAGAGGTACGTTCGGTCGAGCCCTGTGATGGCGCGCTTGAGCCGGAAAATGCGCAGCGCAGATGTGCTGGCGCAGAAGCGGTGGCACCACTCGGTCAGTGTAGGTGCCTGGGTGCCGGCCTCAATGTCTTGTTTGAAGCCTGGAGCGCGCTTCTTCAGGACGGTCCCGCGGTGCGTTTTCTCGCCGTCGAGGGCTGTGACGAGGCGCATGGCTGAGGCGTCTGTGGCGGCGAAATTTGGGTGCAGGTACGAGGAAATGTTGAGCACGATGCGGAAGTCGGTCACGAAGTGGTTTTCTTTCTTATCCCCCCGTTTTGTGGTATCTTTGTGGGTGCCCATGATGCATATCAGCGGTACGGGCGCAGTGCTGGCGAAGGAGCGCAAAGCATCTTCGAGAAAGGCGGGATCATTGTCGAAGCGTGCATCCATGTACGTGCTTGTTGTGCATGCTTGTGGCTTGCCGTTGCGGAACGAGGGCGAGTTGTGGTCGGTGCGGGTGGTGGGTGGAGGGGCATGGTGGATGAGTGGGCGTGAAGCAGCGTCTGCCTCGCTATCGGCATAGGAGGGAGGCTCGTTCAGCTCGGGCGCATCGTCGTAGTTGTAGTCGTCTGGTGTGGTGTGCAGGCTGACCGCGTCTGGATCGTCTCGGTACTCTGGTGGTGAAGCTGCCCTGCCCATGGTGACGGTGGCGGTAGATAATATATAGTAATGCTCTGTACGCTGCTTAAGTGCACAACATCGAATGAAGGACAGGAAAACGATCAGACAGTAAGGAAAGACAGGACTCAGCCTCTTATGCTTACTCAAGCGGCTGCCGGAGAGACTCGCGTCCTGGCGGAGGCTGTTTTAGGAGCCATCAGGCAACCACTCACCTATCGGCGTCTTGACGGCGGATACACGGGCTGACTACATCTTAGCGTCCACATTACTTCGTACAGGCGGCAAAGGATCGAGAGATCTGCTTGAATAATAATGAGACAAGCTTGCTACATCCTGTTTCTGGCGTTGTGCGCGCTACGTTGCATGTGAGTGATGCGGGGAAGGGTGCGCCAGGCTTGTAGACCAGATCTATGGCGCTAAGATAAGCTCTTGGGTACATGCCAAAAATTTGGAGCGCGACGCAAGTCGTGGTTGCGATGCAAGTCACATTTGAGCCTCTGTTGACACCACGCCCCCTCAAATATTGGACAGGAAGCTTTAAATAGCTGGTTGTCACAAAGCTGGCCTCTCTTACCCCGATTTCGCGCATTCTGTGTGCACCGCGAACGCTCTATTTACCCCCTCGCCAACTCTGGGCTTCCGGTCGCTCCTATACCTCGAGTCGCAGCTTCCAAAGTTCGCCCACAATGGCTTCTTCCGACGCGACGATGGCTAAGCCGCAGGCCAAGACACTTGACGCAATACCGGCAGAAGGGCAGCACATCAGCCATGAGGGGAAAGAGTACACAACAATCAAGGAGGGATTGGCGCACATCCTCGTGCCGCAGGACACACCTACATCGACCGACCCGCGAATGTCGAAGGAGGATACGCAGAAGCAGCAGGTCTTCTATAATCCCATCCAGCAGTTTAACCGTGATCTGAGTGTGCTTGCGATCAAGACGTTTGGGTTGGACTCGATACAGCGAAAGCACGAGAAGCACGCAAAGTCGCTGAAGAAAGGCCCAAGGAAACAGAAAGGCCAGGCTAAGGGGACGGTAGAGGAGCAGACGCAGCAAGCGGAGCTAGCGGAGCCAGCGACTACGGAAGACGAGAACACACTGAAGCGCAAGCTCGCAGAAGTCGAGGCCGCTAATACAGCACCTTCGCCTAAGAAGCAGAAGGTTGCAGACAATGGCGATGCTTCCAAAGAGGGAGAAGTGGCCCCTGCACCAGGTGCGCAGGCGGAGACGAGCAAGGAGCCGAAGCCTTGGAGAGCGCCGTTCACCATCCTCGATGCGCTCTCGGCGACCGGTCTGCGCGCTCTGCGATATGCTAAAGAGATACCATTTGCGACGTCGATCACGTCCAACGACATGTCGAAAGATGCCGTGGAGTCGATCAAGATGAACATCAAACACAACAAGCTCGAAGGAACCATCAAACCCAACACGGGCAACGCCATAGCCTATATGTACAGCTACTGCGACAAGAAGGGCTACGATGTGATCGATTTGGACCCATACGGCACAGCGGCACCATTCATCGATTCCGCCATACAGGCAATCGAAGACGACGGTCTGCTCTGCGTAACTTGCACAGATTCAGCTATCTTTGCATCACACGGCTACCTAGAGAAGACATATTCACAATATGGAGGATTGCCGTTCAAGGGCGAGTCTTGTCATGAAGGGGGTCTGCGCCTTGTCCTCCATGCTATTGCACAATCGGCTGGACGTTACGGCATGGCGATCGAGCCTCTGCTTTCGCTCTCCATCGACTACTATCTCCGAGTCTTCGTACGAGTGAGAAAGGCGCCGAACGACGTGAAGCTTTTGGCAGGTAAGACCATGATCGTGTACTCCTGTGACAACGGCTGCGGCGCGTGGACAACACAGTTCCTTGCACGTAACAAGGCCACAAAGAACAAGAAGGGCGACCTGTTTTACAAGCATGGTTTCGCCGCCGGCCCTACGGCAGACGAGCACTGCAGACACTGCGGGACGAAGACACACCTCGTTGGGCCCATGTACGGCGGGCCTCTGCATAACGTAGGATTCGTTGAAAGAGTACTGGCTCAGTTGAGCGAAGTCGATCGCAGGACATACCCGACCATGGACAGGATAGAAGGCATGCTGCGTACAGCACTGGAAGAGATCACATTTGGCGTAAAGCCAAAGGATGAGAAGAGCAAACAGGTGCTCGACCCCCTCATACCCAAGGCTGACCCTGCAGAGGTGGACCACCATCCTTTCTTCTTCATTCCCAGCTCCATCTCGAGAGTTGTGCACTGCTCTGCGCCACCAACCGCAGCCTTGCGTGGCGCGCTTCGACACGCAGGTTTCGAAGTGACAATGAGCCACTGCAAGCCCGGGTCGCTCAAGACAGACGCGTCGTGGACCGACATCTGGCACATCATGACAGAGTGGATTCGCCAGAAAGCGCCGCTCAAAAACCCCCTAAAGGAAAATACTGCAGGCCGCGCAATCATGTCAAAGCCCACTACCAGCGCAGCAAAGACCAACGGCACAGCGGCCACCACAGCGACAGACTCCATCGTGCCGAGCGGCGAGAGTGCGGATGTGGAGATGACCAACACAGAGGGAAATGCAGATGCAGCGGCAGCAGAACAAGATACAACGTCGCGACCCTCATACCTAGGCACGAACTTCGTAGTCAAATTCGACGAGAAGCTAGGCAGAGACCACGACAGAGGCAAGTACGTGCGCTACCAGCTCGCGCCACGAGAGAACTGGGGCCCCATGGCTCGCGCAAAGTAAAGCGCACAAGTGACGCACCGCAGCTCCAATATTACTTGAATATTGGCGCTATTGGAGCGCTCCGTCATAACTGTTGGCGTACTGTCAGGCCTCAACACCGGACTGCAACTCAAGCACGCGCTTGGTGTGTTGGAGGACGACAAGCCTTGGACCGGACAAATCTTCGACTCTTTGATCCAGACAATTGAAATCTTAGCCATTTTCCATTGTTATTCCCACCTCCCATTCGCCTGTTCCGTTCACAATTATTCTGCGCTGTCTGTAACGTGACCGCGCGTCTGATTTGGTGGTCACGCAAGAAGCTAGAGCCTCAGATCATTGCGCGCACCTTACATCATACATAAAATCTCCATCATGGTGTGTGCGTTAGGCTAACACTTCACAGGATCTATGATCCGCCTTTTTCATTACTCAAAACGCAGAGTACAAAAACCCGCTTGGAATTCATCAGGGTGCTGGCATAATGGGATGGGTACGATGCTCGGAGTCTGACCATATGTGCCAGGCAAGGTTATGTCACTTCTGATGGAGCTGGCACGGCTGGCTCGATCGCTATGTACCTGCAGGCTTTGCACAGCAAGGAATAAGGCGAATATGGATGGGAGCGGCTTGAGTTACGCTCCGCGGATGTTGAGGGGTCGAGACCCGACTTGCTGAACAATAGAGACAGCCTTGCGATGGAGTGGATGCTCATTCGCGGACTTTGCTGCGAGCCAATTGCTTCGAGTGTTCAGCCGTTGATCTATCGGTCGCAACGGGAGCGCTAGCGGCTGAGAAAGGCTCGACACTCCACCATGTCAGACAGACGTCACAAACAAACATCCAGTGTCACCCACCCGGCAGATGGCAGCCCACGCCAGCTTGACGAGCTTGCCGTTGCATCTGCGATTGGCTCATGTTACCTCTCCGATCGAAAACTCCCGAGATCCCCATGTCATCGTCCAGCTTCTCGATGCCTGCAAGATCCAATTCCCAATTGAGATGGTCATGAAGTCATGGGGCTAGACATTCTCGAGAAGTTTGCCTGCTGATATGGAATTGCCACTGAGCGGTAGCGGGGCGTTTGCGGTCAGTGAGCTGTGCCTGTATATAATGAAATTGAGGCCGCGACCAGCTACTTTCTGCATCTTCACCAACAGTCAATTTAGAAGTCAAGATGCTCTCTAAGGCAGTTCTCAGCACCTCGCTGCTCTCGGCGCTTGTTGCTGCCGCACCTAAGCCTCAGGTGTCCGGTTACGCCAACGCCGATGCCTCGTTCTCGGTCGAGTACCCTACTGGTACACCTGCTGCCAGCTTCGGCCCTGACTCCCAGATTGCTGCTCAGCCCACGCAGTCTGGCTCTGCCTACCCTCGCGTCAGCGCCGACCCCACTGGTGCTACCAGCCACGGTCCCTTCTCTGGCACACCCACCACCACTGGAGCTGCTAAGGCGCCTGCCACTCTCGGCACTGCCATTGCTCCTCTCCCTCCCAACCCTACCGCCACCTACTACAATACCAATGGCTCTCCCCAGAACCCCATGCCGATCCCCTACACTCCGGCTGGTGGTCTCGGCACCAATGGTAGTGAGCCTCGCTACATGGTGAACTCCGACTTCGACTACGAGTCCATCCAGCTTGGTCTGTACCAGGAGTGGATTGAGCTTGACCTGTTCAACAACGGTCTTGCCGTCTTCTCTGAAGAGGACTTTCTCGAGGCCGGCCTCACTGCTGAGGATCGCGCTTATATTGCCTTCATGGCGATCCAGGAGACTGGCCACGCTTCTCTCCTTACCAATATGCTTGGCGAGACTGCTGCTCCCCAGTGCACATACGACTACCCCTTCCGTACTGTCCGTGAGTTCATCGACTTCAACCAGAAGCTTACCCGCTGGGGTGAGTCTGGTGTTTGGGGCTTTATCAACCACCTCGACTCTCGCGAGGTTGGTCAGCTCCTTTCCCAGTCCATCGCCACTGAGGCTCGCCAGCAGATGTCTTTCCGCCAAATGCTTGGTCTCCACCCCATGCCTGTCTGGTTTGAGACCGGTATTCCCCAGTCGTGGGCCTGGACCTACCTTGCTCCCTATATCAGCTCCTGCCCGGAAAACACCACCCGCCTGGCATGGCAGAACTTTCCCACGCTTCACATCGTGAACCAGGCCAACCCCAACCGCTTCTCACCCAACGACACTAAGCCCAACGAGGTCGCCGGCAACCGCATCGCTGATCCTGCAGACTCCACCATTCCCGCTGATGAGTCCTGCGTCGGCGTCGACCCTTTGGAGAACCCCGGTTACAGCTGTGCGCCCGGCATTGTCCGCAACCGCTCCGAGCCTCTCTCCTTCCCCGGGAAGCTCGTAAACCTGACCTGGGAGCAGCCTGGCCAGGCCGTTGGTCCCAACAACTCCTACATCACCGCTACCTCCGCCGGCACCCCTGTGTTCGCTGCCTGGGTCAGCCAGCTCAACCTCACCTACACTCCCTTGACTATGACTGGCAATAACACTGGGTACACCTACCAGCCTTCCAGCGAGGTCTACCAGGGTGATCCCGCTGCCAACGATACTATGTTCTTGGCTATCACTGACAGCAACCCCTACCTCACCCCTTTCAACCTGAGCATGATCAACCCTCATGTTGTTGCTCTTGGCCTGTATCAGGCTGGTTGAACTGGCGGCCAAGGTTAGCAATTGTGTATTTGTGTATAACAAAGCTGGACATGGTCCATGTGAGGATAGCAACGACCGTTAATAATAATATTGCGATACGACAAAGTCAACCACTTCTTTCGTGATTTGCTTTATTTGTGATACCTGTGCAAATCTGTACCTCTTATCGCTTGATCTATTTCTTCCATTTATTTTCTTCCGAGTGCCAATTCATTGACACAACCTGTTACGCACTCTATAAAAATTCGTTCTTACTGACGTCTGCTTCGCCAACACATCCGTTGCACCCAAAATAAATTCTCCTTATTATTTCGTATGCGGTCGTCTTGCTCGCCTCTTCTATCCAGTATCGAAAACATCCGCGTTGGTTTGTATGTGCCATGCCTCTCCTCTGGATCTCATCATTCAAGTTGCCTGCGCGAAGTGGCACGCTAAGTCTCTCTTTCAGAGGGTTGGGAGAACTCACTTGCGGTCTTGTTCTCGAGTCCGGATTTTCTGAAATTGGCGATGTGAAGGACCATGGCTGCAGAGGACAATACCTGAAACCTGCCCGGAGGTCTGCAGATGCTGCTCTTGAGTCTTTTCTTCGCTAAGTGTTTGACACTGAGGATTGTGCTCATGTTTTTGCATCTGACGTTTGGAAACGGAGCGGGCTTATGCAGGAGACTTTGTGCTGTGTCTTCACTCTGCTGCGAGGAGACTGAAGTACTCGTATCAATGACATTACGTGTACGACAATCCCGGGGTTGTGCATATATCCACCTTGCCATGTTTTGTCTAGCCTTCCTTGTCTACACCTGCTTCTGCAAAAACTGAAACTCTCGAGGAAAAGAGTCATGTCTTCTATCTTCCGCTGCTCCCAACGAATAGTTTGGCCGCTAATCTCAACATATTTATCGCCTTCTGCCTATCAAAAGTCACTCTGTATGCGTCGAAAGCACAAAGAATGACTGGTATGTCTGGACGGGTGTTCTCCCCTTTCTATTCACATAAAAAACGGCGCTGCGTCTAAACTATATTCTGCATGTTGCTTCTCGTTAAAAGTTTGGGCTCGGAGTTAATTTGATTGCTCGAAAAAGCCCCCTGGAGAACTGATCCCTGTCCAGAACCACGGAGGTGTCCAAGGAATGTCATGTCTACGCCACTGCTACAATACATGCGTAGTGGTAAATTCTGTGTTTGAGCTTGCTGCTTCAGCTCGTATGGACCGGAAATGAGTGGACCGATACGACAGCCTGTGAGTTGACACTCCAACATCGTCATCAGATGTTGAAACTTGCGGAGAAGGCATATATATGCGAGCGTTCTGTCGATTCTAATTTTTATGAATTACAGCTTCTGAAACTTCATGGATACCCCTTCTCCCTGCTGCCGTACGCCATTTCATCAGGCCGTCGTGCGGTCTACGTCACGTGTCACTTCCAGCTGCGTGTAAAGCCTCTCCACGGAGCTGAACACTTTCTCTCCATCAGCACTTCCTTCTACTAGTTCCAAAAGAACGAAGCATGGCAATTCATGTCTGTGCTGCCCTTCTCTACTCCTGGACATCGAGAAGCATTTGAAAGTTGTAACACGTTCTGCGCCTTTTCTGCTCTAACAACTAGCAGACGACAAGAAAATGTTTCTTTGACAGTCCAGGCAAAGAGCATGCGTGTCTGAAGATGCAATCTCTTTGCGCCATGTTCATCTCTGCAAGCTTCTGTCCTGAGATTTCATATTTACCTTGCGGCATCAGAATCAAACACGCCACCTGGGCAATATTCTCTTTTCTATGGACCACCCAGAAATGATGAAAGACCCCTTCATTTCTGGCACGGCTGCTTTCTTTCTGCTGCTATCAATTCCAAATTCCGCAACAGATCGCAAGATGCCTGCGCCGCTCATTTTTGCTTTCGCTCAACACCAAAAGATGACGACCAATGTTGCATGTTCGGTGCCGGCGTCATTCCCGGGAGGGCTGAAGAGCATATCTGCGATAGTTCTCAGACTACTGCATACCAGCCAGCCAATATGTGCGTCTGCCTCCTGATCATGTTGTTTCCTTATTGAGTCCTGCAGCTGTGCTCACCAGGTACCGGTAGCTCGGGACGTGCGTCGCGCAGAAGAATATTCTGCATGTACTTCGTACGAAGTCAGCTTCAACTACCAACCCATTCCTTCGTCATTAAGCCCATCAGGTTCTCCAAAGACTGACATAGTGTCATATAGCGCGTATCGTACGCCCCAAAACACGGGTGTCGAGACGTATGTAGGAAAGGCTCTCTCGATTGACATGTGCATCTGTTCGATCTTAAAAGTGTTCTAGTAGCATACAATGTACCCAGTGGCATCAAAGGGCTGCGCAAGATTGCTCTTGCGATTTGCTCAGAGATTCATCGACCTGCTGTGACATCTTTTGCTGTTTGCTTGACACAGTGCCAGCTGTGAAATGTACCGTTCTAGCCTTACTGAAGAGGATGGTACTCTTGAAAGTATATTAGTGTTGCGGTGCAAGTCGGTCCGACAGGCCTCGATCGTCACCTCTGTTGACTATCTTGGACTAGCACGTCTCAGGGCATGTATATATGGTCGCCTCCTAGCTAGCAAGCAACTCAGCGCAGTTTTCCATCGATATACAGCGGCTACGTTTGCCGCGACAATTAGGGTCAAAGGTGTGTATGCATGCCTTCGAGATCTCTGCTCTTCCTCTGCACAGGGCAAAGGCGTTCCACGTATCATATAGGAACTTCAGCTCTGGAGTATCCAAGTTGCAACCAGCTATCAAACTGCGGTGTACCTTTCTCAGTACCTTTTTAGTTGATCACCAAGAGAGGTAATTATAGACTCAATGTTCTGCGAGCTCGCTCTCCCTCTGTATAGTCATAAAGAGGGCAGACCAATGGCCGATGTCCTGCCTCTTCTCTCCTTCCCTTTTCGACATCTCAACACTCCAGGAGAAGGTCAGTCGAAAGGTCTTTTACGCAGTTTAACGGGTCAATTCTGAGAAGGTCACACCGCGATTGCAATTTCTGCAGACATCTGTGCTTAGCGACTACGCGTGCGCTTGACGTTGAGTAGCGCCCACAGCCGTCTCAAAGGAGTTTGCTAGTAGTGCCACTCATTTAGTCCACAATAAAATTGACATGTTGCTGCCGGCAGGGTTTCGCTGTTCGCTACTGTGCCCATTTGCTAAAGCCAGCCTCCATAGCGCCAGGCCATTTCTCATGCTCGTAAACTAGTATTCAGAGAGCCACTGGTCGATCTCGTAAATATTTCTCGAAGTGCGTGTTTACTCGACCTCCCGGAAACATCAATTCTCACCTATCAGTGTTCCTTTCGCTCAAAACCGATGTGCGGTCCCCGTTACATGGCGGTAATCCGCTCCCCGCGATAAGATCCAAGTTCAAATCCGGACAGCGCGCTTCTTTTTTGCTTTTGCCCTTAACACTCTTTGTCACTGTTCTTTCACGTTAACAAGCTCTTCTTATGCAAAGACTCTGAGATGCAATACAAAATTACTTTCTATGCGTTTTTACCCACTTTTCTGTTAATATTAAATAGTGTCTTCTCTAGCTATAACTTTATAGCTCTATAAGGTCTTAGCTGCCTTATTCAGTTCTTAGCGCTTAGTGTCGTTTGTTGTATTGTAGAAGTCTCAACGCGAAAACGCGTTGTTCTCAAAGAGGACGCGCGAGCTTGGCGATCGCTGAACGCGTGAACACAATCCGGATAGGGCTATGTAACCGAATGGTTTGCACGGACCTCGATGACGCTTGCCCGATCCCGGCGCCAGCCACTTTTCCCCATACTTTCAAATGTAGATCGATGATTGGTTGCATCGTCATGTTTCGCAGCTTTCCGGTCCATAGCTCAAGACCCCAAACGTCAGGTTTCTGGATCTGACGCTTCTTCCCACTTCCATCACACCTTCTACGCCTTCCAGCGCATCACCTCTAGCTGATCGCAACACCCTCAGGCTTCATACCTATCAATTGACTTTCGACCCCTCTCGTCGCGTACTCATCTAGGCCTTTGCGCGCCCATCACGTCATCCGCCTCAAGCGCTTCTCAAATTACTATACACATTATGACTGAGTCCGAAATTCAGCAGGGAGACCAAGGTGAGTTTTGGGGAAGCTCCGGCGCTGCAAAGTTGTGTTCGGTGGTGCATCTCCGGAAACGCTCAGCTGGCAAGGGCGCGAGCAAGCGCGTTATTGGAAGCCGCACGATGTACGAACACACGTAGAACGACCATCCACGTCGAATTGGCTCCACGTTGTGTTTTATAAGTCGACACTGGCTGACCACGTTTTGTTCTAGTCTCATGGTCGTGGGGCTCAGGACAGCCTGGCGGCAAGGTTGCCGAGGTCAAGGAGCAAGGCGAGATCGCCATCGAGTCCCATCGTGGTAACACAATCAAGAAGAACGCCGAGCCCGATAACCCAGCCGTCCACATCGAGCGATCCGGTAACGATGTAGTCAAGCGCGCTTCCGAGCTGCAGATCGAAAAGAAAGCCGATGGCGGCTCCAACGGCGAGTCGAAAAATGACTCTGAGTCTGACAAGAAGGAAGGCAAGAAGGACGACAAGCCTACCGAGTCTGAAAATAAAGATGAGGAAATGAATAATGCTCCTGCTCCCGAGGAGAAGGAGATTGAGGAAGAAAAGCCAGCTGAGAAGAACGGCGACTCCAAGGCCGAGCAGGACAAAGCCGAGTCCAAAGATGATGCTGCCAAGTCTAACGGCAAGTCTGAAGAAGCTGAGGCTGGCGACAAACGCAAGGCTGGAGAGACCAATGGCGCCGACGCTGCTGAGAAGGAGGCACCCGCTTCGAAGAAGACCAAGACCGATGACGATGAAGACGAAATCGATGACAAAGCTAATGCCGACGATAAGGCTACGGGCGCCGACAAGACCGAGAGCAAGTCCAAGGCTAAGGCCGGCCGCCCCAAGGCTGCTGAGAAGGAGAAGAAGGAGAAGAAAGAACCTGTGAAGAAGAAGCAGTCGAAGCCTGCGGCTACCGATGATGGTCAGCCTAGGCGCAGCGCCCGTAACAAGTAATCAATCGCTTCCGGCGACATGGCAGTTCGTTACAACACAGAGACTCTGGCATGACCCAGAGTGATGGGTTGAGCATTTTCGTGTTTGATTTTTGTGTTAGGCGTATGGAGATGACCGACGGGAAAAGAATTGGTAAAAGTCTTGGCGACATTTGTGGGATGGGACGTTTCTTGTATTCGCTAATTCGCTGGCGCTGTTCTTTATCTGCGATCTAGTATGTCGACAACACCATGTGTTGCTTGTCGAAGCTCATGCTTGTGACATAAGCGAGAGCGAGGCGGAGTAAGGTTTCAGGAACGCATGTAGTTAGCTGAAGAAATGTAACGTTAATTGTGCTTATCTACTACCTGTTCACCTTGTCAGCTGCAAAGGGCCCAATATTGCGATGGCAAATAGGCGTTGAGGGAGTGTGTTCCAATCAGTAGGCGTCATATGCGTCAGTGAGACAAAAGCACTTGAGTCTCTCCGATCCGTCTTGAAACTTGATTATGAAGGTAATCATCATGGAATAGGGCAAGAGGAGAAAGGAGTGGCAACTTACCGTCTCTTAGCTGCCGTCTGCATGCCCGCACGCATCATACTATGCGCATATTGCATTGCCCTTCGCGACGTGACAAATGGACAGCAGATTGTCGCAGGAAGTGTACAACTACTACTGTCACGTAATTGTTGAGGGGGCAGAAGGCGAGGCCACCAAGGCGGGAAGGAGCGCCCGTGTGGAAGCGAATCTTGGCGGCTCGACCGCGCCTTCCTCATCACCGGTCTTCGACACACACCAACCAACGACTGGCGCGTGGTACAGCTGGCGATTGGCGCAGGACCTAGATCTGAACCCCTTATCTTAACAGAAAGCTCCTTTGCAACATCCTTCAAGAGAGCTCCCGCACAGCAACTGAACTTTTGAGGCCTGCACGACATGAGGGGCTTGCAATTCTCGACAATCCGTCGGACCACCCACATCTCTACAAGATAAGTCACCGAGTACTATGCGGCTCTTAAATGCGAGAACTCTCGAGCTCGAAGGCTTTGTCGGTGACTATCCGCCCTATGCAATTCTGTCACATTGTTGGAGTGACGACGAGGTGGTTTTCTCAGACCTCGCGGACATCGTGGAGGCGAGGAAGAAGCAAGATTTAAGCAAGGTCAAAAAACATGCGAGGGGGCAGTCGAGGACGGCTATAGTTGGGTCTGGATAGACACGTGCTGCATCGACAAAGCGGTAACGCCGAGCTGTCGGGGGCAATCAACTCTATGTTCGCTTGGTACAAGAGCTCCAACAAGTGCTATGCTTACCTTGCCGATGTGGATGGGCCAAACGATTTCGGACGTAGTAAACGGGTTTCCCGGGCATGGACTCTGCAGGAACTCCTTGCACCAAGTGGCATGGAATTTTTTTCTAAGGATTGAAAGAAGCTCAGTGACAAATCTGGGTTGAGCGACAGCATCGCAGAGGTCGCTGGCATCGCGAAAGAGTACCTTCAGGGCAAAAACATACTTTTCGCTAGTATCAATATGCGCATATCCTGGGCAGCCAAACGACAGGCGACAAGAGCGGAAGATATTGCGTACAGTCTGCTTGGTCTGTTCGATGTCAACATGCTTTTGCTTTACAGCGAGGGCAAGCTGAAGGCTTTCCGGAGTTTGCAAGAAGAAATCATGAAGATCTTTAAGGATGAAACATTGTTTGCGTGGGAAGGTTCCGGCCTCGAAGCAGACTCGGCCGATGTTCTGGCAAGTGATCCGAAGGATTTTATCGAGGCGAAGCATTTGCTTCCATACACTTCCGAAAATCCTACGGCACCTTACTATATGACCCACAGAGGTCTTCGCATTTGGCTCAGATCGTTCAAGCTCAACGAAGTCCCCACAGACTCCAAGAACAATTCGCGAGAGGGGCTCCGCCCAATTCGATCTCCTGTCATAATCTGGTCAGACAATGAGGATCCAATATGGGCAATTCTGAAATGCTATGTCGAACACGACTACCATCACAACGTAGCCATACCTCTCCGACATGAGACAGCTGATATGTACGTTCGCGACACAAGTACCAGTGTTGCGTTCGTACCAACCATATCCTCGCCCTTCTACACGCCCGAGAACGAGATCTACATACACAACACCCGAGTCGCGCCTATCTCAAATAACACTCGAAGCCGGTTCGGCTTCCTCTTTCGAAAGATCCCAAAGAACGTCGGAATTGCTGGCACTTCGTATCCACCTGAAGCGTGGAATCCTGAAGATCGGATACTAAAGGGAACCCAAATCTCTTTATGGCAACGATTCTGTAATGAAAGTATTACATAACTTCTGCCAGCTCCTGCTGGGTTCCCCACCAAGCAGTGTGCAGTCCGTCTCAGTCTCGGTTACAAGCATGGTCCGGCTTCGAAAATGCTGCAGCCCTGGTGCTACCCTGATGACGAGTTGCTGCCGCCAAAAGCAATTGACTTAGCAACATAATAGGGGACGGCACATAAGCAGGATTCACAGTACGAGATTACCGAAATTGCAGGATATCCGACAAACTCCAAAGTCAAGGTTTTCATCAAATCAGACAAAGTCTCGGGGCAGAGTATGTTCATCGTTGACATTGAGTTCATTCATGTCCAAACTATGAACTCAATGTTTCCGAAGGAAAGAGCCAAACAGCCACAGGAAAGTCAGACGTGGAACCGCAGGCGCTACTGCTTCCTTGACCACTCAGCTTCAAGTTCTGAAACGCGCCCGTGGGAACTGCCGATTTCCATCACACAGACCTCAACAAAATTGAGAAGCAGGCTGAAGACCAAGAACGGGGTGATATTGCTAGGTAGGATCATGATACCGAGCCTCCAGAGTCGACCAGTGTTCTCATCGTGGTATAAGTCATAAAATGACGTTTGTCACAAGATTTCTTTAAAGAGCTCGCTCGAAGCCTCTCGTCGGGAAATGCACTCCCTTGGTAGTCCCGGCTTGTCCGGGCTGCACTCATTTGTCGAATCGATTGCACCCATCAACCTCGTGGATTTGTCCTTGCGCTGTGAAGGCATTTGTCTTCTCTACTGGCACCGAGCCAGGCAGCTCCGGTAAGAATCGACCACACTAGAACCACAGATTGAACGAACTCGATGATGGTCGTTTTTGCAATGGAGGAAACGAGCACTGGGTAAAATCAAATCAGGCTGCCGCACAAGGTCAAATAGGTCCGTACAGCCAAGTCATACGCGCCTAAGCGAACATGAGAAACTGTGTCCAGCCATCTTCACAGCCTCAAAATGTAACTTTCATGGCTCTGATAGGGGAGTAAATGATGGCTTATTGTCTTGGCCTGTAGCCACACGGATGGGCCACGGTCTGGCCCAGGGCTTGCCCAATGGCAGCCTCACGAGTGATACATTGAGTTTTACGCACGCACCGTACGCAATATTCAGCCTCGCGCGACATATGATGATATTTCCCTCGCACGAACCGAGGACAGGGGAACAAAAAATTTCTGGTTCCTACTGCTTGTAGCGACCCAACGTCAAATGCATCACGGAACTGAACGCTCGAGTGCCACGAAATGATCGTCACTGCACCAAGTTTGACTGATCGCTTAGTAGATACCATCAGGAGCTGTCACTAGGCACAGAGAGCGCATCATGTCTATGCACAGCGGTGTAGATACAATGCATCGACTGAGGGAACACCGGAACTTGATTGAACCTTACAGTGCCTTACATCAGGGGCTTTCCATTAACACTGGTATCAACGATTTCAAGGCCATGCCAGGAGTAGAGGGCTTATTCAACGTCCTAATCAGCTTTCTCCATATATCATCGCCTCAAGAGTTTTAATCCTGATCAAAGATATTTTCATTTTTCATGACGAGGGCTTCCGTCAATCTCGTGTATCTGTTCAACAATGGATGCCGCTTTGGCTGCGTTAGGTGCCGTAAGTCCCGCTGAGTTCGCCTTCATGTGCGCGTAAGTTTGAGACTCCATCTTTTGCTGCGGATACACGCTGCCTTGGTCCGTTTGCTGCACCCCTTTCGAGAGAATAGCAGAGTTGGGGGCCGCTCTTTTCTGCTTCACACGTTTGAGTACGCATAATATTCCACCGAGGAGAGCAGTCAAAGCGGCAAGCCCAACGCCAGCACCGATGCCTGCTTTAGCACCCACTGATAGTCCTCCAGAGTCTCCTGTTGTCTGTCCACTACCTGTCGGCGTCTCTGCAGTAGATGTCGAAGATGACGAAGCTGTCGGTGTTGCTGAAACCGATGCTGCGGGGATGATTTGGCTGTTTCGTTCAAGACAGTCTCGTAAACTCAGTCTCTGACAGTCTTGGGGAAGCTTAACCGCGAGGTTGGGGTCCAACATTGCTGCATCAGCAACAAATTTTCGGTATGTAGCATTGCTTGCTTCGAATGTGCCATTCATCAGCCAGCAGTTCTTCGAGTTACCGACATATGGCGTGTAATCAAAGCCATAGCACAATGGTGCTCGTTGGACGCAGCGATCGATGCAGTCTGAACGTCTTAACTCGGAGCTTGAAAAGTAATCGAGTGGCGCTTCGATGTCTTTCCCGCAGAGGTTCTTGAATGGAACGATTAGACCGTCTGAATTGTATGTTGAAGTGTCGCCGTCCTTTTCGCAGTCGCTCTGTGCTAATGCGACTGTCATAAATAGATGCCACAACAGGCAAAACAACATTGTTGAGGGAAGGGGCGATGTGCTATGCATGCGTGAGCACTCGATAATCCGGGGGTCTTCGATTTACATACCATCAGCAAGCCGTGTAACGCACCGCTTAGGGGCTGTGTACAAACTCACTAATGCTTACATGCACGACTTTCATCGATTTGCCACTTTCCAGTTGGTTGGTTGCAGTGACCATTGGGTCGTTGGTCTATCCAATCGTAGCCGCATAGGCTAGATATAGAGTTCGAGATCCCTCCACGGCTTTTCAGCCTTATGCATTTTGCAACAGTTTGAGCTGTGCAGCTAGCATCCGTCTTCGAATGTGAGATCCTTGATCATTACTCTTCAGTCTGCAGGCTTCTTTCCCATCTTGTCTCGTGGAAAGGAGGGAAAGCTAGAGCTAAAGACTTCGTCTCACGACATTGCTCTCAGCACCAAGTGAGGGCTGGAAAGGTGGTACAACGCTAAGCTCAGCCCACAGTGTTGTGGCGTTCCACAACAGCTCCAGGCGTCCAGGATTCCTCTTCTAAGAATAGAAAGCAGTCGAGCCGCAAAAATGGCAAAGGTCGCATTGCACATGCATAACATGGGCCAACAGCTCCACGATCCTTTCTCGGTTCGGGTGTCGTGCTTAAGAGTAACTCAGATGCGAATTACTGCGTTGAGTTTTGTTTAATATAGATTACATCTGGGCTACTACACCTTTGTCTTCAGAGTCCAACGTCTGCCCAAGCACGCCCATCGGCTGAACAGGAAAGCGAAAAGACTCAAAGCCAAAATCGCACAAAAGAATCCTACCATAGGCTGAGGACCTACCTTCTCGATTAGCTCACCACTGATGGGAATACAGATCAGCGTTGCCAGACTCGCAACGAAGTATGTAGACCCATAGTATCTTCCGAACTCCTCAGCTCTGCAGAGCTGCCCAATGCACGCCGGTGTTAGCGCCATCCAGCTGCCAGTCCCAAATCCGAAAAGCGCGGAAAAGGCATAAAGCGCGGGAAGAGAAGTGGAACCAACGGGTAGCCAGAGAACAAGCATGAAAATTAAGGTGAAAACGATCATGACGGCGAGGGTGTTGAAGCGACCGATCTTGTCTGCAGCATAGCCTGGTAGGATACGACCAAGACAAGACACACCATTGAGCATGGCAATGAGGTAGAAGCCAGTGTCTGCCGAAAAGCTCGTAGTCAGTGTGGCGTAGCTGGGCAAGATCCCTAGAGCACCGAATAGCACGACTTCGAAACCAAAGACGGCGACAGTGAAGAGACTGAGACGTAGATCGGCATATATGGAAAGCGAAACGATGGCCTTCCTCTTCGCTTCTGCCGAAGGTGGTAGTCGAGCCTTTACAAGGATGTTCCCGACGATGAAGCAGAATAGGAAGATGAAGCCGAGGATGCGGAGTGACCACGCATACCCGTATCTTGGAAAGGTTGTCTTCAACACCAATGGGATGACGAGGCCACCGCAACTGCTACCCATCATCGCAATTCCTTGGGTCAATCCTCTTCTTTCCTTGAACCAGTGTGCAACTGCGGAAAGACTGGTGGTTGTCAAGAGCGCTCCTGCCAGGCCTCCAAGCACTCCGCAGCACATCATCATCTGCCAGAACGTCTTGCACTCAGCTAGCAAGAAGATCATAACCAGCTCGGCGATGCTACCGCACAGTGCTAGCCATCGAGGTCCATAGCGGTCAAACAGAGGGCCTACAAAGAGACCAAGAGCGAGGGAAAGGTACACAAATACTGATGGTATCCATCCAATCGTACTAGCGGACAAGTCCGACAGCTGGTGTTGGGCCCAATAGTCTTGCAGTGTACCAATGGAGACCATGAAGCCAAAGGATGGAAAGAGCAGCAGCCATGCAGCGAAAACAACCAGCCATGCACGCAGGCCACCTTCCGGGAAGGTTTCTCGTACGAATTGACTCGCGGTTTCCTCGTTAATCGTCCCATCACCCTTCCTTCGTTCTGATCTCGTCCGCGGAGGGTGCATGGCGTCGTCACCGTCTTTGGCCTGAGCATGCTTCTCTGCACTACTCTCTCTTCTCGACTGGCCTGTTGCTCGCGAGATCGTCCGCACTAGACCATCCCACACTTCTTCCGGCTCTTCATACACTCGTCCCTCTGTCGAACGGAGCACATGCACTGCTGGATTCGCTGCTGGGTCCATGACGGTTTGTATTTCAGTTCTTGCCTTCTATGTCCCTGATGAGGTTGGTTTTCGCCACGCGCAGAGTCTGCGCTCTCAATTTTCGATGGAGCGGTCGCTGCGGTGCGGTCAGCTTGCGCCTGCTGTGCTACATAAGAGTTCAGGCGTTTCCATCCGAAAGCATCGTTTTACCCATTCCGTCTTGGCGTGCCCGCCTGTGACGGCAGGGCATTGCATCATGCATTACGTTTTATAAGCGCCCTTTTGCGCCCTATTGTTTACACGGCGTGGAGATGGACAATCGACCGGTCTCGGTCCCGATTCATCAGCGGATCGGCTGCCGTAACTTATAGTTAGGCTGCCCCGCTCGAGCCAGACGTCAACGTCAGAGAACTCCGAGCTCCACAGCTCCAGATTTTACAACATTTCAGTCCGAGACCGTAGATCATCATCAACGTTTGAGCCAGCATTGTATGCGCACGCTGTAAACGCTGCCCGCAGCGGTGCCATTCCGTCGGGAAGGGTGTGGACAGTACTGTAAGTTTCAAATGTCTTGATCGTGGCAGAAGGCGGATTAATTGCGCCAGAAGGATGTAGAGCAACCGCACGCGGTTCGCGTTGCCTTCATTGTTGACATTACTGACTATCCTCACGCGCACCAACTATAAATAGGCTAAGTTATGCCCGCCTCTGTCTCTATTGTTCCAAATCCATCTGTGCGCTTGGCCGCTCCCTTTGGCACCTGAGTATTAGCATCTTATCAAGAGGTTAGTAGTGATATCGAAAGTAACTAGGCTCCTTCGGCGCTGCTGCTTAGTTGACCATGCACAAAGAAGAAGGAGACATATAGAGGCCATAGACTGATGTTGCTGTGTCATGCGATAGAAGTGGAAGTGCATAGCCATCATACCAGCAGGCATAACAAACAGGAAAGAAGCGCGCTACCTAGATTTGAACTAGGGCTTTTTCTTTTGATCTAGGGCGATGGTTCACCATTATTTGTTCTGGACGAATGGATTCACCATGGTCTGTTCTCCGGGATCTCACCAGTACGTCTACCAGGTAGGTATTGACGATGGTTCCAAGAATTTACTTAATCTTTAGAGGTGTATTGCGTGAGTACGGCAACCAGCTATGTTATTAGACTCATTGCTCCTTTGCGCTCGAGGTCATTTACTTCTTCCACGGCGCCTTAACATCGGAGTGGTGAACCCAATATGCGATACCCTATTTGCAAGCTATCACATTGCAAGTGCGCCTAACCGGTCAACGGCAAAGGGATAGGCGGTGCTCGCTTTTGCTCAAACTATCTATCTGTGGGCAACTTGTGCAGGAAGCAGCAGTCTGGGACATTCGAGCGCTGGTCAGATTGTCGATCCTTTCTCAAACATGGAGTATGCGCTCCCTCTCGTAGATATTTAGATCTCAATCATGTTCAGGTCATTGTTCATTGAAACCGCGAGTTTTTAGGCCTTCTAGAACCGTCGACTTAGACTGCGCGACCCTCAGTATTTCGGGCGCATCAAACTTTGAACATCATCCGTTTATCTTCTGACGCCGTGCGATCTCACTGCGCAGAAAGACAAGGCAAGCATTCATGTAGATTGAAGAGTGTAAGACTTCAAAAGAGCGTGTCGTCATAGTATGCTAACGCTGGATAATTGCAATGATACATCAGTAACAGCTTGTGGGTCTTGCAGGCTCTTCATTGAGAGCTCGACGAGATATACTCAGCCTTGACCTCGGATGTCTCATTCTCCGTCACCTGTCTTAGCAATGTGTTTAGTGCTTGCGTCCGTGAGCCCATTTGTCAAATTCTCTTCAACTCCTGCACTTTGTATCTTTTGTGATGATACATGAGATTGGGCTCACTTCCAAGTTGATGTCATTGATTGAAGTCTCCTTCACTTCCAGTACCTCGTCCTCACAAGCACCCCACTTGCCAACTCAGAACCAAGATTGTATGCCTCTACACAACGAGCCATCCAACACACAATGTCGACGAAAAACCTACTTCGCCACATCTTTCGCCACGGTCCGCGAGGCAAAACTGACGAAGATGCATTGCCACTTGAGCCAAAGCTGCTGCCAGCCACTGAGTTTGCCACCAACAACACGCGCAAGACGGTAGCTGCCCAAGACAACCCACGTGCCACTCCCAACACTCTGCCACCTCCACCGAAGACACCCGAGCCCTTTGGCCTTCAAGATATCGCCGAGGAGAACACCATCGACACGCCTTCAACAGTTGAGACTGCGTCTTTGACAGAAACCCTCACTTCACTTGACCTCGAGATCAGCACCTTCTCTGCGTGCGAGCTTGTTCATGCCACGCTGGAAGAAGCTAGGTCTGCGGTTACGTCCCACCTCGATACTATCAACACCACACTGTCGCTGCTGGAGGCACTCGATGGCTTCAGCGCGACGATCTCAGAGCTACGGGGAGAAATGCTGGACAAGAAGCAGGCTTGCGAAGAGCAGATGGCGACGTTGGATGCCGTTGAACGGGCAATCGAGGGAATGGCTTTTGCCGGAGAACTACAAGAGCAGGATATCAGAGAGGAAGACGCATATTAATTGTTTTACTTTAGGCTTTTGGCACACTGGCCTCTGTCACCTGGGTAAGGATGTGTTGCCAGGTGCACAAGCATTACGCCAACAGCGACGGTCTCGCGATCAATGGACTCCTTTCTGGAGCGTCTGCTCATGTGGTATTACCCGAGTTCTCTACGGCGTTGAGATACAGCAAGCTTCTCACAAGTCCTAGCGCAAGGATTTCATTCGTGAGGAACCCCTCTATCAAAAGACGGATGCTGTTCTTCATCGATCCAAACAAACCGTTCCAGGATGATCGAAATTTGACACAAAGTTAAAACCTGGCAGCAGTGTGCCTGTGCTTCTAGTGTGGAGGTAATGCCTTATCACTGCTGCAATTGCTCATCTGTGTGTTTAAAGCGAAATCTACGGAAGGGCTCAAAATAATTTCCTGTCCGCGCCATCCAAGAGCCGCCAATGGATCCTAGTTTTCATACCAACCTCTAGAGCCCGCTCACAGAGACATTGTGCCACTGCTCCTTCCCCTCATCCTTCTCATTCTCCATGTCATTCACAGCAACCACAGTCGCTGTCTCAGCAGCGCCACCCACCGCAACCTCAAGCTTGCCAAACCGACCATCCATCTCCTTCGCTCCCTCTCCCACGGAAGCGCCAAGCACACTCGTATCCAGATATTATGCCTGAACCGGCAGAATCTTCCTCAAACCCTGGAGATCCATGGTAAACTCATGTCTCAAATCGCGGTGCGTGTCCAAGACCTCGTTCCACAGCTTGTACAGAGCCGGATGCTTGGCGACGATGTGCATGGATGTTGACGACCAGTGGACGGCCAGCACATCAAAAATGAGCTTGCGCAGAGGTGATGACCGAAAGAACAGGTGCGGAGGTGTGTTCGTCCAGATACAGTGGACTAAGCGTGGGCTGATGGAGAAGTGCTTGCCGATATCTTAGTAGATATGGTTGATCGTTTGGTTGAGAAAGCCGCTGGCGCTGAGTTGGACGGAGAGCAGGTAGGCGTGGACCTAGGAAGGGATTGGAGCCTGGTGGTAGTTGACGTTGGCGGGAGGCGGCATTGATGCTCTCGCTGGTGTGCGCGGCTTGTCAGGCTGTACCGTCGCCTTGGAGTGTGGAACCGAATGTGTGATCTTGGATCGCACGTCGACGACAGTAGGGTAGTAGCCCGTGTACATGTACTTGAGGAAGAGGCCGAAGATGAAAGGGTCTATGTTCGGCATTTCGATGATGGCTTCATCTTCAACACGCCCAGGGTTGTCTGAGGGCAAAATCTCGGTCGCACCCTCGCTATCCTCGGCCTTCATCGGGACATTCATGGTCTCATCCTCAGAAGAGAGCTTATGCTTCTTATTGCTGCCCGGTTGGTCACGCACCGCTTTGTATGGTAAGGTCTTCTGTCGGAAGAAGTGCGAATGGTAGCAGAGGAGTGCCACAGGAAGGTTATATTTTACGATGTTGCGGCCTGAACCGACGCAGGTGGACGCGATCAGCCCTTGAAGCCTGCCTGCATCAGTGTCGTATCAATTACGAACAGTTGTAGGAACTTGTCAGGCTGGTCTGGCTCTTTGGTAGTCTGTGATGGGAGTGAATATTGCGTGGATGGTTCGCCAGTGACGGATGATGGTGCACTAGGTAGCTGCATAGTTGCTGTTGGAGATGTTGCTGCTAAAGTCGTTAGTTCGGGTGCACAAGGTCGAAGCTGAGGCATGGAAGATGAATTAGCAAGGGTCCAGGTCAACAGCGCGCGGTTGGTGGCAACAACGAAGGTGAGAGACGCAAGTGAAAGAAAGTGTTCGGTAGGTCCTGACGGTACTGGAGGAAGGATCTAGAACGGGAAGTCTCATCCTTATTTTTGTATTCATGGTAGTCGAGTATGGTCCATGGTTGGGGCACCCTCTCAACAAAATCACACAGCCAATGTATGCCGTTACTGGCCTACCGCTTGACCATTCCAAGTACTGTTCAAATAGTCCCCAACACCCTGTCAGTGTTCACTTGTACTTCCATCCATTGACAGCCCTCTCCTGCCACTCAGCCTCCATATCCTCCGCGCAATTCTGGCAGACAGCCATGCGGCATACAGAAATCTCACACTCCCATACGTTCTCATCGCAGTCCTCGCAACACTTCTCGCACACTACCGGGATCTTGACATGCTGCTTGATGCCCGTGTAGGTCTGCAGGTAAGGCCGGACTCCCAGACTGTTGATGACTGCACTGTCTGGGATAGTCTTCAAGTCGACAGGGTGGAAGATGTGGCCGTTGTTGATGCATTGGTGTTTGGGGATATGCTGAAGCTGCTTGAGTGAATCGGAACGTGGCTTGAAGGGGGGAGTAGAAAGGGACTCATCACCCTTCGGGAAAGGCGCTGGCGGAGTCTCTTGATCAGCAAGAACATCTGGATCGACACGGGTAGAGATAGGACGCTGCTCGGTGCTATTGTAGTCCGAGACCCAGTTCTGCACCAGCAAACGAGATTCGTCGCGTGTCAGCTTTGATTTCTTCGGCTTGGTGCTACGGTCTGGGTCGTCGTTGTGGTAGTGAGTGACCACAGGCTAAGCTCTTGTCAGCAACTGCCCAGTCGAGGAATATGGCATAGGCACTTACGCTTGGCGGCAGCATGTTCTCAGAGCGTGCACAAGCCGTGATGCTCTTCTGTTGCTCGACAGGGGCAATCTTGTCAGGAACAGAAACCTTACTCTCAACGTGGGCTACTGGCTTCTTCTTCCGGGGTGGAATGTCGACAAGTTTTATCATTCCAGGCGTGATTCTAGTTGAAGTCATCAACTTTGCCTGATGCACTGTAGGCTCTTCGTCGAGGTCGATGCTACTGCACAGCGACACCAGATCTGTATCATCTCCCTCGCTGTCATCATCAGGTATAGACTTCGGCTGGGTATTGATACTCCCTACGTTGCTGCCGCTGGCGAACTCGAGTTTGAACTGCCCGTGTTTGCCCTTCAGCTCAGCAAGCTCATCATCGATTGTCTGTCTTTTCGCTTCGACTCCAGCAATTGTCATTTTCCGAGCTTCAAGTCGCATCTCCTCCTCGGTCGCATCGAGCCAAGCGTCCTCGGCGGTCTGCAGAGGGCTCCGGAAATGTGCAGCCATACCCTGCTGCCAGTGTACTCGCTTGACCTTGACCTTGGTCCCAGGGTGCACGACATCTTCATCCTCATCGGTCGCTTCCTTTTCGTAAAACTCTTCCGTAGGCGATAAGTCAGCTTCGTCCAGCTCAAACTTATCGCGACCAGGTAGTGTCGATTCCTGATGGCTAAAGCAAGGCAGCACTGGGGCGCTGTGTAGAGGCGGAGGATCTTCGTAATCGTACTCCGAGATGGCGCCCAGCTCAGTCACATCTTCACCCTCGCGGTAGGCGGGGCGCAGTGATTCGAATGAGGCCTCTGTTATAGGCGACATACGCGGAAAGTCCTTCGCGTTTAGTGGCTTCCTACGAGCAGCCTTGCTCCTCGATGCGGTACGTGCAGGATGCGGCGCGGCAGGAATTCGGAATCGTACCTCTTCATGGCTGTCACCGGTGCAGCCAACATCTCCATCCTTCTCACCGAGGTCGAAGCACGTAGCATCAGCCTTTGTCTGCTCGACTGGCGATCGTCTTGGGCCTGAGAACTCTGGAATGAGCATACGCAGCCCTTTGGTGGCAGTTTTGGAGGTCTTAGGTGGCTCGTCAGGCTCGACATCTTCTTTCTTGTGCTTAGTCTGGCGATCGACACCTAGCTTCAGTCTAGTTAGCAGGGGCAGAGAGTATTGTTTCTTCAGTGCTGGTCTAACCGGAGCCCCATCGTCACTAGCGGTATCATCCTGAGGCTGAATGCGACGTGGGCTTTCTGTGACTGAAGACTTGGCCTCGAGACCGAAGAACTTTGCAGCTTTGGACGGTGTGCTGACTGGTAGAGGCGATGTTACCACTGAAGTGCTCGACGATGTCTTTGGTTGGTTGGGGGTCGTGGGCTTTGGCCTTTTACCGCCAAACAAGCCGTGCTTCTTCTTAGGGTCGGTGGCTGTGAGATTAGGCGATGATGCGGCTGGGCCATCTGCGAAGGGTGTGTAGGGTGGGCCGGGTCTAGTCATGTCAGTCGCGCTCCTGCCCAAAAGGAGTCCTGGGTGTTACTTACTTCACCGCACCAGTCGGAGGGTACAACTGCATCGTTTCTTCGCGCTCTTCAAGCTCCTGAACGGTGTTGTACATGTGTCGATCGAAGCTATCTTCCGACTGTCTGTCTTTTACATAGTATGAGCCCGCACTGCTGATGCTGCTCACTAAGCTGGCAGCAGCCGAGTCCAGGCTCAACACAGGCATGGTGCTCGATCGTGGTGGTCCTGCGTTCGAACGGTTTCGGCGGACAAGCTTGCGTCGCTGACCACCAACCCATTGTGCCGGACCGGGAGGTTTGTTATTCTTGGCGCCTGGCATTGTGAATGCGGACGAGTGAGATGCTCCAAAGGGAAGGTGCGATGCTGCTGTGTTTGCAACGTGACGGGGTAATCTCAAGTACGATTCGTCGAAGAAGTCGAATTGCGGAACAAGTTGGAGAGTACGTGAAGAGACGAGGCAATGTTGTTACGGTGAGTCGCCTACAAACGCGGCACGGGGAACAACAGTGAAAGTGAAAGTGAATGCGGAAAGCGGACCATCAAGGTGACGTAGTCCGAGCAACGTTGGGAAGCCACAATAGCAGGTGAAGACAAGAGGTGCTTGACAGCACAATCAGATTATGACGGCAAAATAAAACATGTACAAACCATGTACTAAATTCTGGGTATATCTTATGCAATCGCCCATCTATGCGAGTAATTCAAATGCAACATCAATCGTGTCAAAAGCATCCACACTACGAGGGCTCCATATCCCTTGCTGTGCTCACTGATCTCGCAACCTGCTCGGTCGCCCCACTTCCACTTGCCACTATGTTGGTGTCTGGGCTGCTTTCTAGCGAATGCCTCAAGCCGACCTCGCTAAGATGCAGTGATGGACTGCCAGGTGGACTGGCAGCGACTTGGTGACTGGGAGGGAGGACGGCATCAACCGCTTGATCGCCCAATGGCTCTTCTGATTCTGGATCCCTTGTCGCCTTGCTTCGAGCAGGTTGTCTGGGACTTGCACCAAGACCTCGATGTATGTCGACGAACGGTGTTGGCGCAGACGCTGCGGATGTCGAGCTCAAGAAGTCAGATATCTCCGCGTCTGATGTTCCAGTGGTATTCGATGTGCGAGGAAGGATTGGTGATGTTGGTGTTCTCGCGGCGCGTGGATAGCCAAGCTGCAGCCATTTCTGAACAGCATTGCGCTCATCGTTGTCGTCCTCCTCATCACTCGTGGCACCGTCGAAGTAGTTGTCCCAGTCTGCCGAGCTGGTGCTACGGATACTATCCGCTGTGTTCATACGCCTTGGCGATCTGAAGGAGTTCTCAAGAGGAGCAAGCTCGTCGCGAACTTCTCTGAGTTCGCTATCAGTACGCTCGATGGGTGGTGCTGCGTCTCCTTGACCCTTGACATGCTCGCCGTCCTCTCTGACAGGCACGTCGATGCCCTTGGCACGATCGAGCGCAGGCTCGTCTTCATCACGGGTTTCGGCAGAGTACGTAGCCGCAAAGTGAGTGTCGCAGAGGTGCTTGACCACAGGCCAGCCGTAGGCGTTGGCAAACATGCGGCGCACGACAATGTTGTTGTGTGCATCAGGCTCGAGGCGCACAAGGACTTTACGCCATGATAGGTCTCTGTGATAAGCGCGTGCAATCTTCTCTTCCACTCGCAAGCCCTCCTCGGCAGTGACAGCTACAGCCTGCGACTTGCTGCTTTCCCCAGAGAAAGAACGATTGGCAGATCTTTTCCTGGCGGGCGGTGGTGGAATGTCCTCTGGATGGTACACACGGTCATGGAAGATGGTGCGAGCTCGAGTTGAGGGGTCTATAATCCATGACGTAGGGGGCGTAGGTGGGTTGATGATGTCTCCAGCCGATTCGAAGATTGTCGTCTTCGGTGGCGCGGCAGAATTCTTGGACGGGTCGAGTGTAGAGTCACCTCTCGATGCCAGCGGTCGTTTCTTCGACTGCAAGGTCTGTGATGACGCCGCGCTATCTGCAGTGTCTTGTTCGTCGTCGTCCTTCATAACAGTCTGGCTGCGTGTGAACATCTTCTTGTCCTTCGACGTATGCTTGCCTGTAGGCCTAATGTAGCTCCACCACTGCATTAGGGTATTCTGCGGCTGGAAGTACTGATCAGAAACTGGCACACCTGGATTTCCTTGTACCGTCTCATCTGGATGGTGCTTCTGGCCGTCTAGGAATTGGTGAGCTGCAGGTTCCGACGCAGTCACTCTGTCGTCTTCGTTGGTGACATCTACACCTGGTAGAGGCACTGCAGTATCATCTCCATTGCCAGACGGAGAATCTGCCTCGTCGTTATCTGGAAAGCCTATCCTCGAGGGGTTAGGTGAAGAGTTCTGGCCTGTCAACTGGCTGAAGCCCCACACAGCAACACTGCCGATGAGTCCGTTCTCGCGACGCGCTTTCTCAACTTTGCCCAATCCTCGCCAGTCGAGGAACAGGAGACAGCTAGTTCGCAAAGGTACGACACCATCATTGACCACGTTGGAGTACACAGTACGATTCCTGAACATGCGCAGGACAACGTGAGCAGGTCCGGTGGGCAGAATTCGGAGGAGAGGCTTGGTGCCAGGATCTTCCTGCTCTTGATGTTGTGACTGTCCACCGAACCCACTCACCATAGCGGTCCATCCGCTCTTCGCCAGCGTGGGAGCGCGCCAAGTTAGACCAAGGTCTTGTCCAGTTCTACCCACCAAGCCGAAGTCTAGAGCGAACTTCACGTACATTGGATTTTCGTTACTGAGACCCAGCATAGGTGAGGCCAGGGCGATGAAATTGACAGGCTTGATGTGGAGGAAGAACTCTGGCGAATGCTTGTGAATGTATGCTATTGCATAAGTCTGGACTAGCCCTCCAAGAGAGTGGCCGATGAAGCTTATGCTGGTGAACTTGTAGGCTCGTTTCTGCTTGTGTGTCTGCGGTCTGAGGTGGATGCCGCTTCCTTCGTGCGCAGGAATCCCCTCATCCGGCTTGTCTTTTGTCGGTGAGAAGGGATTCAGCTTCTGGCCGACAGACTTTTTGATTGGCAGATATGGCTGGTCCGGATATGTGAGTCGCAGCACGTACTTGGCGAGCCGCTTACCGAGATACTGGATGCCACGCTCAGTACGAACGACGTTGCCGTCAAAGCCTCGAACAATGACGTCCTCTTCGTCATCATCCTCCTCTTCATCCGGTATGTCTTCCTGGCCACCAGACAGGGGTGCTGTAGCTGCAGCCTCCTTGTTGCCGGTCTTGAATTTCTGCCCCCTTTTCTCCTGACGTCGTTTCCTGCGGTCCTCTCGGGCCTGCTTTGCCGCTGCATCGATGCTCTCCTTCAAGTACAGCATATCGGCGCCAAGGTTGCTGTGCAGACCATGTGTAACCATGACCAGATGGATGCTCTTCTGTTTGCGGGTATCCTCTTTCTGCTCGTACTCGACATCCTTCGACTTGCGCATGTCGGTGCGACCTCCGTCATCCTTGTACTCTGGTAGTTCGGGCTTGTTCCACAGACTCGTTGTGTCATCGACCACCAGCTTGATCGCCTTGGAGAAGACGCCCTTGGGCTGCGCAGGGTGGTTTGATGTGTGCGACTTCTTGCCCTGCTGGTGGTCTTGGACCTTACCCGGTGTTCCGGAGCTGTTTCCCGTGACAGCAGTGAACCCAAGGTCGAGTGACCTCTCATCACGGGCGACCAGCAGCTCGTAGCTCACAGAGGCGGAGTTGGAGAAGAGGATTTGGGAGTCGACCTCGATGATCCATGTTGCGCTCTTGGGCGTACCGTCGAAGTTCCTCCACTCGTCGCCCTGTCTGATGTGCTCCGGGACGGTCAGCCTGGCGTTCCAGTAGCCACCGGCTTTCAAGTTGGGCTCAAACTCGGGGACACCGGAAGTCTTTGGCGACTCGACTTTCTTGTTCGGGTTGAAGGTGGAGGGATATGCGGCGACATGGATGGTGTAGGGCCCGTGGAGATACGCGGCTCGCAGCGGCAGGGCAGACGTGTTGCGTATGCGGACATGCAGAAAGGCCGGCGCAGGGAGGATGCGGTCTTCGCTGGGGGTGTATGTGACTGTGTACCTGCATGACATGTCTTAGCACTCGGTGCGACCAAACTTGACAACTTCCGCGGGCATCTTGGACCTACCGCACAACCTCGCCCACCTTGACGCTGCCCGTCTGGTGGAGCAGCAGCATTCTGCGCGCGCGCTGTTCCTCGGCGAGGATCTCCTTTTGCGACGGCGTGAGCAGGAAATACGAAGCTCCCGGCTGCGTGTCGGTTTGGGCGAGGGAATAGGTGCGCGGAGTGAGTAGCATTTAGCGGCTGCAGTAACGACTTTCGGTAGCGGGCGGCGCTGGCGATTAGGGGTCTTCGCGGCGCGTCATCAACTGGCTCTGCCTGTGAGAGGTCGCTGCTTGGGCGTTTCGCGGGGCCGCAGGGAGGCGCTGGCGGGACGTTATAGGGGTTGTTTGGGCGTCTGGCTGCTGGTCACACGTATCGCGAAGAGATGAGGTGCGTCATTGCTCGCGTGGTTGCCCTCCCTGTTTCCATCCCGTGCCTCATCATACTGAATTGTGAACTACGACATCTCGGTATCTCAACTCCAACCCGCACGAGACATCGAGTCGGATCGCCAAGATATCGATGAACATGACCAGGCGCGTGCTTTGGAAGGAACGCGTGTCGAACGCCCCTTCCATAGCATCCTCGCCGGAAGGTGCATGGACCCACATCCGACCTCACTAGTCGCCAGCTACATGCTACGGCAACATCTAATTCAACTCCGCATGCATCCAGCGAGCTTCAGTACAGCGTCTGGAACCTCAGCAAATACTGGGTGAGAGCTATCTGTTTACTTCCGGCCGATGTGACGACAGGCTGCTGCTCGATGCACATTTGCAACCCCTATAGGCTTCATCGACATGAGCCTCTCGCAAATTTACATCAGGTTGGATCAATCATCTTCAACGCCACTATACTTTACCATGCTCTGCTCTCGAAGTCGTCTTCGTTTGTTTCATTCGTCGGAGAAGATTTACTCTAAAATCGAAAGGTCTCCTGACGCTGTAGTTAATGCATCAAATCTCATCTCGTTTGGCTTCGGCACGCCGGAAGGTGCTTCGTCCATGTTCCTACTATAACAAGGCCTCCTCTTTCCCAATCAGCAAGTAGGTAAGACACGCGAGAATGCCAATATGTCGGTCGTACAGACCGACTCCGCCGTGTACTTGTCCTCGCCTAGCTTCCGGTGCCAACCTTCCGCTTCAAGTCGTGTAACGTGTTTTACAAGCGAGCGCCGCGTACAAGCGAGCGCCGCACCCTACCAAACTTGCGCACCTCTCTCATCTCAACGTACAATGGCCCAACGCAGCGCTGCTCTATCAGCTTCAAATGAAGCAGACGTTCAGCTTGCTATCTTATCTATTAATTCTTACCAGATACAGAGCAATTGCAGTGCTGCTGTTATCTATAGCGTACCTGAACGAACGATCCGCCGCCGACGCGCTAGCAAGCCTGCCCAACGCGATTGCCAGCCCAACTCAAAGAAGCTTACTCTGCGTGAAGAGGAGGTGATTATTAGCTATATACTCAATCTGGATCAACGTGGTTTTGCGCCTACGTACGCAGCTGTACGTGATATGGCTGATAAGCTGCTGGCTGCGCGCGGTGCAGGTCAGGTTGGCGTCCACTGGCCACGCAACTTTGTCAAGCGTACAGACAGTCTCACGACGCGTTTCAATCGAGCGTACAATAGACAGAGAGCCCTGTGTGAGGATCCAGCTCTAATCAGAAGCTGGTTTGAGCTTATAGAGGAGACAAAGGCCAAGTACAGTATCTGCGATGATGACGTCTACAACTTTGATGAGGCTGGCTTTATGATGGGCAAGATCACAACTCAGCTCGTCGTGACAGGGTCAGAGAGGAGAGGCAGGCTAAAGGCTATCCAGCCAGGCAATCGTGAGTAGGTGACGTTGATTGCTGCAATCAACGCAGCTGGCTGGTCAGTCCCACCGTTCCTCATCTTTGCTGGCAAGTACCACCTCTCTGCCTAGTACGAGGAGGATATCCCACGCAACTAGGTGATCGCAGTTAGTGACAACGGCTGGACAAACAATAAGCTAGGAGTTGAGTGGCTAAAGCACTTCAACGCTCACACAAAGGCTTGTGTAGTAGGAGCACATCGCCTGCTTATTCTTGATAGCTATGAGAGCCACCACTCTCTTAACTTCCAAGAGCTCTGCAAGGAGAACAATATCTATACGCTCTGTATGCTGCCTCACTCATCCCACCTACTACAGCCTCTTGACGTTGGCTGCTTCTCGCCGTTGAAGCGCGCGTATAGGGCTTTGAGGTGCGCAAGTTTGGTAGGGTGCGGCGCTCGCTTGTACGCGGCGCTCGCTTGTAAAACACGTTATAATGTTTAGTCGATTTCTGATGCGTCCGAGGCACCGACGATGCCGCTGCCGCGAAGATTTATCTCAGCACCAGCATCTATTTACTGTCGGACCAATACTCAGAAGCTGCAAGAAAGCAACTCACCGGCGTCCTTCGCAGCCCAATGGGGCTTTTCGAAGATATATTCCTTGGACTCAGTGGTGCCTAGCGATAGTCAGAGTTTGTCCACACCCTCCACTCTCGAACTTACCCTCAACTAAGTCTTGAGCTCCTCCCTACGGAAAAGCTAAACTGCACACTCTGGGTCTTGCTCAGCGTAAACGACGCTCTCTATCTGGCGATGAAACGCCGTCCTGGGGTTGGTCTTGGTCTCGAACGATCTCACGGCGCCGGTGATTGCGTCCCAGATGATATAGCCATTCTCCGCATAAGTAACGGCCTCAGACTTGGTGCAGGTCTCCCACCGACGGAACGGCAGGATGACCTCGACGATGAAAGCTTGTTGAGCTGGGTCCCACGTGATGCCGCGCGACCACTCGGCAGCCGCGCGGGTCTGACCGTTGCTGGGAGGTGGGAGCACTATGTATACGTCAGGTACTATTGATGCCTCACGGAGATGCGGGAGACTTACTCAAAGCACTGGTAATAGTGGGTGATGAAGATGCCATCTTCGTCGTGGGCAGCGAAGACTGGCAGAGTTGATCCTGAATTGGTGTGGAGAAACAAACAACTCAGCTTAGCACTGACGTTTTATAAACGGAGCGATACGTAGGCGGCTGCGTTCACCACGATCAGAGACTTCGAGCCGTAGAGCTCGGTCGTCAAGTCACGATCATTATGTTGTTGAATTTCATCACTTCGATTATGCTCAGCAGCGAGAAAGCGGTTTGCGGGTCTCGAGAGCTTGGTCAAGAGGTAGGTATTATGTCATATTGCTTTCTCTCCAAACATGGGCCTATTAATAACTCTAAAGACTTTAATTCGTAAACACGTCATTCCACTTTGCCTGACTTCGCGGTCGGAGTGAAGGTTGCAGCAGCATGTCTAAGATTTCCTTCCGGGGGGCTACTTCTTTCTCCCCTCCTACGCCGGCAAGCAAAAAGTCAACTATCTGAGCTTCCGCTTTCCACTCTCAACATGTCTTCATCTACTTCCTCTTCGCCGAGCACATCAAGATTCGGCGTCGAACTCGCTGACGGTGCACTCCGAATATTGAGATACCCATTTTTGCAGCGCGCGGAGTTTGCTACATGGGGCTTGCTTCACCATCTCCTACCACACCACACTAAAATACCATGCTCTTGGAAGTCCATACAACGAATCCTAAATAGAAGCGGTCTAGCTACGAAGTATTACTCCAACACATCAAAACCCACCCATCACCCTCCACAAAGACACTCGATTCATATCATCACTCCACAACACCTCCCCCTCCCGCCCTTGCGAAACCAGCACAACCCACACCACACAACCTACAACCCCGGCACCCCCTCGCAAAAGCACTCAACTCCACAAAACGCACACACCCAATCATCCCTGCCCCTAATCCTCGTCCGCAGGCGATCACTCCGCGCCGTCTTATCCGCATCCACACCACCAAGTGCGACAGCCTTATTGCGCAGCCGCACATACTCAGCATTTACGTGCGGCGCGAGGTAGTGCGCGGGTACATAGAGCGCAGGGGGATACAGTAGCGTGGGCACGAGCGCTAACGGCGCGGGCGGACGTGGAGTGCTGTGCTGCATTGGCTGGGTTGGGGTTCTTTTTGTTTGCAGGGTATGGACCGAGGGGAGGAGGGCCGGGCGGAGTTGCCGTTGGATGCTGGATTCGCTGAAGGATGGCGATGCGAAGGCGGTGGTGCTGCGCGGGACGCTGGCGCGGAGGGATGGGTGGATGGACATTGGTGCTGGGGGTTGGGGGTGGACGAGTGGGTTGTGCAAAAGCGTTTTGAAGCGTGGGTGTAGGTTATGAAGATGTGGAGGAGGTGTGGTACTGATGTTGTGGATACCGGCGTTGTGGGGGGTTCTTTAAGTGCTGGGGATTGTGTGGTGAGCTTGGTGACAAAGAAACGTCATAGAGAAGGTAACGCGTGATAAAGAAGAGTAAAACGATGGAGTGTAAGACATACAGTGTCTTTGATTGATGGGCGTGCACTTTTTCGCTATGACGGGGAAACAACGTTTGTAGACACAGCGTGTTTGGGCGCGCTTCATGCAATCGATCCGCCGGTGACCTTCAGAATCATGCTTCCGCTGCCCGGCTTGCTCACAACAACAGCCTGTGCAAGCTTCTCCTCGGTGATGTCCGGGAACTTCTTCCTGTAGTACTTCTCCTCCCACGCCTTCTTGACCGCGTCCACCTTATCCTTCGGCACGAGATGCACACTGCACCCGCCCCAGCCCGCGCCCGTGAGCCTGCTCCCCGCAGCGCCTGCGGCACGCGCCAGCTGGCACAACTCGTCGAGCTCGGGGCAGCTGCAGTCGTAGATGTCGCGGCACGAGTCCTGTGTGGTGTTCATCAGGTCGCCGAGGGACTGGAGGTAGGCCTTGTCTGTCGACGGGGGGCTGGAAAGCAAGGAGCGGAACTTGATGACGCGCAGGGCTTCGGTGAAGACGTGGATGGCGCGCTGGCGGAGCATGAACTTCTCCGCCCGCACGGGGAACTTGGACATGTAGCGTTGGTTCAGGTCGTCTTCTGAGACACCGAGCAGCGCGGAGATGTCGGATCTTGTGTAGCCTTCTTCCTGTGTGAGGTAGTCCTCTGTGTGCTGGACCAGCTTGTGTAGTTGTGTTTCGAAGTCGACCACAGAGGTCTTTGTGTTGTCGGCCACGCCCTCTTTCTCCTCGAAGTATGTGTCATGGAAACCGCGCAAGCTGACGCCCAGTGGGGAGGAGTCGCTGGGCAGCTCTTTCTTCAGGCCGAAAGCCTTGGCTAGGAAAGCAGCGGCGAGGGTGCATTCGACTACGCGAAGGTTGTAGCACACAGGTGCTGTGACGTGCTTGTCAGCTGCGACGAAGCTCTGCGCGGTGACGAAGGTGAGCTCGGGGTCTGTTGTGGGGAATTCGATGTTGGTGTAGTCGAGGCTAGGCTTGAAAGAGACGTAGAGAGCAGAACCGCGGAGGGAGAAGACTGAAGCAGCCTGGTCCATGCTGGGTGGTGTTAGTAGCGAACTTTGGAGAGAGCGGATCGACTTACCCGCCGGAGTTGACACCAACAGCGCGCTCTGACACAATGGCAAGCTCGCAGAGCTCCTTCTTGTCGACCTTGTCTTCGCCATTTGCAGCCAGCACAGCCAATGCGCTGGTGCAGACAACTGATGCTGAGCTGGACAAGCCACCACCGCTAGGTACTGTGCCGTCGCAGACAATGTCCATGCCAACTGATTGGAACTTTCCACGCTTCTTCTGGAGAAGCTCTGACACGCCCTTGAGACCAGACTTGAAGTAGTTGGTCCACTCGTGCTCAGTCGCGTCAATGGGGATCTCGCCGTCAGGGATGTCAAATTCTCGTGTTGGGAATTTTTCCGAGTTGAGGTTGGCTATCCGTACTCGAGGCTTCTCATGTGATGGTCGAATAGCTACTGCCATGATAAAGTCGGCGGTGATGGCCATGGGGAGCACCTCGTACAAGGAGTAGTCAATGTGCTATTACTAGTGAGTTTTGAGTTGGTGACGCGCAGTGAGCAGCTATCTTACCTCTCCAATGATGTTCACGCGACCAGGACTGCGAGCTACGAATTCGGCCTGCCTGCCATGGACTTGCTCGAACTTAGCCAGGAGCTTCTCCCATCGCTTGGTCTCGACTGGAACCGCGTCTTCTGGGTAAATGTCGCGCAGCGACGTCGCGGTTGGAACCGACATGATGCGAACGGAGAGTGTGTGAGGTCCAAGTCTAGCGACAGAGCAAGAAACAAACAAGAAGAGGAGGGATCAACGGTTATATGGCGCCGTGCAGGTCGCGAGACATGCGCCCGCGGTGGGGTACTGCTGAAGATAGGCTAGTCCCGAAATGGCACTCCGCCCGCACCCCACCGCCGTTGCTGCAGGTACGCTGAGCGCAAAGCATGCTCGAAGCCATGACGCGGGTCATGCGGGTGCGACGAGGCGGGAAATTTGAGCCATCGGCGTCTAGTCAACAATTGGAATAGCAGCAGGCACTACCTCCTGGTCTCGGAGCTCGTTCAAGTTGTAGCCGTCCTGTCGCGGTCTTAGGTGCACCACATGCACGGTCTGGTGAGGGGAGTGACTGATGGTCGCATTGGGTATCTCTGTTGTATCTGACGGCGCATGATGCAGCATGGCGCTCATTCGGTGCCTCGGCCGCGACCTCGACCTCGCAGCCCTCGCCCAATGCCGCTGCCAGCACGGCCTCTGGTTGAGTCGCTGCGGCCGACGCCTCGACCGGCCTGTCCTCCGACTCCCACGTAGCCGCTCGATGCCGTGGGCGTAGAGGTCCCGCGTGGTCGCGTGCCTCTGCCGCGTCCCCGTGCTGCTGGCTTGGGCGGCCCTGCCTCGGCTCTCCTGCGCTCCTCTTCTGCCTTCCTCGCTGCGGCGTCCCTTCGCGCCTGCTCTTCTGCTGCGCGACGCTCGACAGCCTGCTTCCTGTGGCTGTCCTCTTCCTCGATGTCGGCCATGTCCTGGGTGGCTCCCTGCCACTGGGGGTTGAGGATGAGTCGCTGGTTGTGCTCGGTCTGCGAGAGGATGCGGGTCCAGGTCTGGAGGAGTGTGGAGGCGTTTTGCACAGTCTTTGAGACGGTCTGTGGTTGTCAGCATGGCGGGCACATGGCGGGCACATGGCGGTGCTGCTGGCACTTACGCCCATGTTGTCCTTGGCCTTCTGCAGGCTCTCGACGACGCCCTCGATCACTCTGTTGACATTGCGCACGCTCTCCAGCTCGCGCCGCAGTGCAGCTTCGCGCGCCTCTTCTGCAGTGTAGTGCGACTCCTTTGCGCGTCCCTTGCCCGCGGCTGCACCGTCGCCCGCATCGGCCGCGGCATCCCGCGCTCTCTGCTTGTTCTTGCGCGCGGCGGGCGTGTCAAAGAGGGCGTCCGTGTCCGAGTCGGACAGGTTGAGGTCGTCCATGTTGAGTGGCTGCACCATGGCGTGTGAGTTGGGCGTGTTTCAGCGACGCCGTGGTCGCACCCAATCAATTCCCAATTCCCAATTCCCAGTTCCCGATTCCGGGCGGCACGTGATTTCGTTGTTGTGTTTGACGCGTTTGACGGCACGGCGGGGTCGCGGACTCGCGACATGCAAGGGTGCTGTTGACAGGTGCTTGGCAGATGCAGCGCTTGGACAATGGACAACCAGCCATCCCGGGTCACCAGCCTCCTCTGCTCAGACTTCAGTGCAGCATCGCGATCCAGATAGCAGCGCGGCCCCATCTGCTCCACTCCGCCGTCACCACCACCTATCTCTATCGATACGCCCCTTATCATCCGACCGCTGCCCACCGCGCCGCTGCCCGTCTGTGTAAAGAGCTTGGTCCCGGCTTGTTTTGATTTTGGATATCGTGCAACCGCCCACATCACCACCACACACGACATTCCGCGACGGCCCACCGCCTCACGCATCGCCTCCTTTCACTTTACCATGGACCGCACGCCGTCGCCCTCTCGACGGGTGCACACGCCGCCTGCGCCCCTTCACGGTGACGATTGGGAGCCCTTCTCGCCGCGCCGCTCCAGCAGAGTCGCTGCGCAACGCGGCCTTCACCTCGAGCAAACGGTCCCAGCACGCGCCCCCCGCACTAGGCGCGACGTGACCCCTTCCGCCTCGTCGCGCAAAGCTGTTGCGCGCACCTCCAACTTCACACTGTCACCACCCTCCTCGCCCGTCTCCTCCCCCAAACGCACCCCACATTCGACGCGTCGCGCACTCTTCCGAGCCGCAGAAGCACTGGATTCCGACTCAGACCAGCCTCGAATCACGTCGGGGAGTCGCTTCCTCGCCTCCATGGCCCCTGGCATGCTCCCCACCCCGGCGAAGACGCCCCGCAAGCGCGTCGTGCACTCCGAGTCTATCAAGTCTACGGCGCGCGTCCTCTTCCCAGCACGCCCAGCAACCATCGAGGAGGTGACCCCGCGAAAGGCGCGCAAGTTCACCAAGAACGTCTACTCTCTCAACAGCTTCGAAGAGGCCGGCGAGTCGTCAAAGATTGAGATCTACACGGACTCGAAGGAGCGTATCCCTACCGCTGACGAGGACGATGATGAGGAGAATCCGTTCGTGGTGAAGAAGGCCAAGGGGAAGGCCAAGGTCAAGGCCAAGGTCAAGGCGAAGCCGACCCCGCAGCGCAAGCAGGACGCAAAGGCGGACGACATGGACGAGGCCGTCAACCGCGAAGAGGGCATGATCTTTCTCTTCCGCGGAAAGAAGGTCTTCCGCAAGTTCCACGACGATCACCCGTCTGACGCGCCCACCGAAGAGGATGACGAGGCATCTGGGGACGAGCTTCGACTTGTGCGCGCAGCTGGGCCCGAAGCGCGTCGCCCACTGACCCGCTCGTCCATCAAGCCGAAGCTGCTTTTCCAGGACGAGATCAGGCAGCGAAAGCTCGAGAACGGCGAGGTCAGCGAGGACGAGGAGGCCAGCACCGACATGGAAACCCCGATGGCAACGCCCAGCCGCGGCAAGGGCAAAATGCTCATGTCCGTCGCCGACTCGCTGCAAGAAGCCACGCCGCCGCCCACGGTGCGCAAGGCCAAGCGAGGTTTGTTATACTATCACATTTGCTCGAGCTCAGCTGACACTCTGCAGAAATCTCCTTCGACGGCTGGTCGCGCATCAAGTCGGCACACAGCTCCGGCAGCTCGTCGCGCGGCGCCAAGCGCAGCGGCTCGCCGCTCGTGCGCGAGGTAGACAAGAAGGCGCGCAGTGGTGACCACTCCTCATCATCCGCGTCCACTGCAGGCATCGAACGGCGCCCCGCTCGTTCTTGATTTCCGCCGCATCGAGTGTTGGCAGCACCATGACTTTGGCCCTCGCACTTTGTTTTTGGCGTTTGGGTTCGATTAGCGACAGGATACCCGGCTTTCGTGCGCTTGTATGGGGGTGTCGTGCTTTGTTGCGCGGCAGCACGTGTGGGTAATGGGGGGTGAGGGAAGGAAGGCATTGCAATTGCATAGCGCGTCACAGCATCAGGACAGGGGAGTAGCTGAGCTTTGAATATCCGAGGGCAGCAGTAGATAGAACCACCGAATCAACATCAGAACATCAGAGAAAGAAGAACACGCAACCCCGCCCAGCCCATACCTTCGTACACTAATGTCCATCCCTGCGGTTCGAACAACCCTCCGCGACGAATCGAATCTATCGCTTGAGGAACTTGCACCTTAGCCCCGCCAGTGTATAAAGTGCAATTAGTTCAGTAATATTCTTCGAATATGTCGTTCCATAGTCAGTCTGCAGGAAGAAAATTACAACAGTCTTGGGCGTGCTGTTGCTTGTTTTACCTACAGCGTTAGAAGCTACAACAGCTGTGCACCCCTGCTACACGACTATTATTGACGTCTGGTAACGTTTCGGAGTAGTCGGACAATAGCTCTTCCAGTCCAGAAGATTAACCCGAGTTTTCAGGAAGTGCAGCCTACACTAACATGCATTCTGAGTTTATCCGCAAATGCAGACAGGCTCTTGTGTTTTCGCGAGGGGACTGAGCGCGCTTACAAAGCAAGTTCTGTACATTTAGCGGTCTACACTATACACTACACGATACCAAGGCGATTTAAGCGGTGGCGCATGCTTCTAGAATCTGACGTAGTGGCAATTCCTGAAATTTTAGCGTGCGAGGTCGCTTGCTGTAACAACGGGATTATTACTATAGCATTATATAGCAACAGCTGCTCTCTCGTAGATTCTTGAAGCTTCGATTTGGCGATGAATTGACATATATATACATGTACATCTCCGTCCCTCTAGGAGTGCTGAGCTATTAAAATAAAGAGAAGAGAAGGATGAACAAAACATCCAGGCTAGCCATAAATGTTGCGGCAAACGTAGCCGCTGTATATCGATGGAAAACTGCGCTGAGTTGATTGCTAGCTAGGAGGCGACCATATATACATGCCCTGAGACGTGCTAGTCCAAGGTAGTTAACAGAGGTGACGATCAAGGCCTGTCGGACCGACTTGCACCGCAACAATAAATATTACGGAACGCGACATATCAAAACCTTTCCAGACAATCCACCTAGGCCAATACATCTACCTGACACGGCTGAGCATTGTGGTCGATATTCTGTTGGGAGCCACAACAGCTCTTGAGCATTATGAGTAATCCAGGTTCCACTTAAGTTGATGCCGATACCCTGATGAATACGTTGCTGGCTTTCAAAGCCCATCCAGTCCTCAATATTGTAATGGCCCTCGAGCGTCTGCACGCACGTTCCGCTGCTCGCATCCCAGATCTTGACAGTCCCGTCGTCGGACGCTGACGCCAGTCGACTCGAGTCGG